GGGAGTTTGTGATGGACAGGGAGGCCTGGCATGCTGCGGTTCATGGGGTCGCAAAGAGTTGGACACGACTGAGTGACTGAACTGAACTGAAACATCTATTTACATGTATTATTTCAAGCCACTGACAATTTTATTCTAATAACTGTGCAAAAAATCTGGTCATATAAATGAACGTTGATGTTTGTGTATGTGACTTAACTTTATGTATAGAATCTAATAATGTAGACCTATGGTGAAATATCTATATATTCTGAAAACTGTAATTCTCAAACACTTATTTTTTCTATCTATTGTTTTTGATTAAAAGTTGCTAATAAATTTCTTGCCTTTATTGGAATCTTCATGTTCTGTTGTTTCTATTGGCAATTCATCACTTCCCCATGTTATTTCATCATCCTCAGTCTTCTTTTCTTCTGACTTTTGAATTAAGCTATGACAACAAAAGAAATTTATAATATATTCTTCAGTTCTCGCACCAAAATAAATTTAAATACTATGTCCTTGAACCACACATTTCCACCACAATTATTACTGTATATAATAATTTTAATAATTAAAAATTATCCCTGCATTGGGAAGATCCCCTGGAGAAGGAAATGGCAACCCACTCCAGTACTCTTGCCTAGAAAACCCCATGGATGGAGGAGCCTGGTGGGCTACAGTCCATGGAGTCACAAGGAGTTGGACATGACTGAGCGACTTTACTTTTCACTATTACTTAGTTTACATTAAGAAAGAAATAATATCAGTGACTATGATTTTATAACCCTTCATGATTTCAGAGATTTTAAAATTTCAAAAGTGTTTCCAAGAATTGGGAACATGTTTAAAAAATCTATATGTTAACAATGTTTTCAGTTGCCACTTGAAGAAATTATATACTAATTTACTGTCCTTCTCCCTTCCCTGCCAAACAGGGAAAAGCCTGTGTCTTCTAAATACTGGTAGTTGGTCCAGATATTTGCTAATCTTTTAAGTATAAAACCATGCACTTCTACATTAATAGGGTCAAGAGTCGGGTACCACTGAAGTGACTTAGCAAGCACTAACTTTACTTAGCGAAAAATTCACTGTCAATTTGCAAATAACTCCCTTCGTCTGCTTGGTTATCATTTAACAGGAAATAAAATTCACATACAACCACTCTGCTGGCCAACAATATATATAACTTTTCCTGATACATCATTTAGTGTTACAAAAAAAAAAAATCTTACATTAGAAACTGTTTTCAACAGGAAAAACATTTGCGGGGGTTACTTATTTTATTTTCTTACCTGCTCTGGTTTTATTAAGGAATGAAATTTGTGAGGTATAGAAAAATAGAGAAGTAGAAAAATAAGCTGCCTATAAATATACCAGGAGAAGATACTATTATCACTGTATCTTCTTGTAGATCCTTCTTGAATTCTTTCAGATGGTGAAGAGAATATATTGTTTTTTTTTTTGATCAATGCTATAATAAACACATTGTCACATATCACTACAACCAGCTTGTAACATTTTTAAAACATTAAAAATTTTCAACTGTAGTTTCATAATTTATTCAACAAGTCTCATTTTATAGGAGAAGATAAATTAACTTAAAAATCAACATCTAAATGGAAATCTTCAGAGTGCTTCTAGAAAAAGAATGAAATTGTTATAGATACTTGAAAAATTATTTTCTTACCTTTCACTTTTACCTTTTTCTTCACAATGTTCTTCACAGCCATTCATTTTGGTAGACTATGATAAAGAGAAATCAATATCAAAATAGCCTACTATAAAAAAAACTATCCTATATAATGATCAATTTTTTCCTATTATTTCCAATGTTTCCTGTTATTGTTCATCCTCATGTTACAAAGACAACATGATATTCAGTTAATACATGCCAAACTGTGGCTGAGGCATCCACAGTGGCTCAAGAATTATTATTGGTTCTATTTACCCATATTCACATTCATTTTGGTTTTTCATTTCTTACATGGGCGATATGAATGTACAGAGGTAAGGAAAAAGAAAAAGTAAAACCTAAGGTAATGATTGTTTACATGTGCACTTGTGACATGTTTTTAAACAGTGACCAAAACTATCCTAAAGAAAGAGAAATGCAAGAAGGCAAAGGGGTTGTCTAAGGAGAACTTGCTTTCTTTACAAACAGCTTAGGAAAGGAGAAAAGTGAAAGGCAAGGGAGAAAAGGAAAGATATAACCACCTGAATGTAGAGTTCTAGAGGACAGCAAGGAGAGATAAGAAGGTGTTCTTAAATGAACAATACAAAGAAACAGAGGAAAACAATCAAATGGGAAAGATTAGAGATCTCTCAAGAAAACGAGACATCAAGGAAATATTTCATGCAAGGATGGGCATGATAAAGAACAGAAACAGTAAGGACCTAACAGAAGCAGAAGAGATTAAGAAGAGATGATAAGAATACACAGAAGAACTATACAAAAAAGATCTTAATGACCCAGATAAGCACCATGGTGTGGTCACTCACCTAACAGACAGACCTCCTGGAGTGTGACGTCAAGTGGGCCTTAGGAAGCATTACTATGAATAAAGCTAGTGGAGGTGATGGGATTTCAGCTGAGCTATTTAAAATTCTAAAAGATGATGCTGTTTACATGCTGTACTCAATACTCAGCAAATATGGAAAACTCAGCAGTGGCCACAGGACTAGAAAAGGTCAATTTTCATTCTAATCCCAAAGAAGGGCAATGCCAAAGAACGTTCGAACTACTGTACTATTGTGCTCATTTCACATGCTAGTAAGGTTATGCTTAAAATCCTTCAAACTAGGCTTCAGCAGTATGTGAACTGAGCTCTTCCAGATGTACAGGTTGGATTTAGAAAAGGCAGAGAGCCAGAGATCAAACTGCCAACATTTTGGATCACAGCGAAAGCAAGAGAATTCCAGAAAAACACCTACTTCTGCTTCATTGACTACGTGAAAGCCTTTAACTGTTTGGATCAAAACAAACTGTGGGATATTCTTGAAGACATGGGAATACCAGATCACTTTATCTGTCTCCTGAGAAACCTGTATGTGGGTCAAGAAGCAACAGTTAGAACCAGAAGTGAACAACAGACTGGTTCCAAATTGGGAAAGAAGTATGTCAAGGCTGTATACTGCCACCCTGCTTATTTAACTTATATGCAGAGCACATTATGAGAAATGCCAGGATGGATGGATTACAATCAGAATCAAGACTGCCTGGGGAAATATCAACAACTTCAGATATGCAGATGATACCACTCTAATGGCGGAAAGTAAAGAGGAACCAGAGAGCCTCTTGATGAGGGTGAAAGAGGAGTGAAAACTGACTTGAAACTCAACATTCAACACTCTAAGAGTTCACTTCATGGCAAATAGAATGGGAAAGAGTGGAAACAGTGACAGACTTTATTTTCTTGGGCTCTAAAATCACTGTAGATTGTGACTGCAGCCATGAAATTAAAAGATGCTTGTTCCATGGGAGGAAAGCTATGACAAACCCAGGCAGCGTATTAAAAAGCAGGGACATCACTTCGCTGACAAAGGTCTATATAGTCAAAGCTATGTTTTCTCCAGCAGTCATGTATGGATGTAAGAGTTGGACCATAAAGAAAGCAAAGTGCCGAAGAACTGATGCTTTCAAATTGTGGTGCTGGAGAAGATTCTTGAGAGTCCTTTGGACTGCAAGGAGATCAAACTAGTCAATCTTAAAGGAAATCAACCCTGAATATACATTAGAAGGACTGATGCTGAAGTTGAAGCTCCAATACTTTGGCCACTTGACGCGAAGAGCCGACTCACTGGAAAACACCCTGATGCTGGCAAAGATTGAAGGCAGGACGAGAAGGGGATGACAGAGGATGAGATCGTTGGATAGCATCACTAACTAAATGGACATGAGTTTGAGCAAACTCTGGGAGACAGTGGAGGACAGAGGAGCCTGGCATGCTGCAGTCTATGCAGCTTCAGAGTTAGACACAACTTAGCAACTCAACAATTTAAAGTCTAAAATTTCCAATGTGTTAAATTACCTTGCCCATTTATTTATTTAAAAATATTTTTTAAATTGAAGTTCAGTTGATTTACAATGTTGTATTAGTTTTTGGTGTATAACAAAGTGATTCAGTTATATACATATCAAAGTATATATATCTATAAACACATACAAAACTACACTTTTACAAATTATTTTCCATTATAGTTTATTACATGATACTGAATATAGTTCCTTGTGCTATATAGTAGGTCTTTGTTGTTATATATTCTATATATAAAAGTCAGTATCTGTCCATCTTTAAGTAATCCCAACTCTCAACCCCTTTCTCCTCTGGTAACCATAAATTTGTTTTCTTAATCTGTGAGTTTGTTTCTATTTTGTAAGTAAGTTCACTTGTATCATACTTCAGATTGCACACATAAGTGATACCACATTCGCCCTTTTAGTTTTAAAGTAAGGGGTATCTCTCTAGGGAACACAATTAGTTCATAGCGGAGTCCCAGAGACCCAAGTCTTGAAGAAGCATTTTGCTACACTCAGAAGAAGATGCTAAGTGGCATTTTTACATGGTTAATCTTACATCTCAATCTTCATCAGAACAAATTATCTTAAACGGGAAATTCCTTTCATTTCAAGACTGAATTATCTGACTTCTGTCTACCTCTACATTCCATCTGGTTTTACTCTCGCCTTCCCTAACTAGACTTTAAGCTGATGGGCCTTTCTTCAGCTCTTCAAAATCACTCATCTTTTTTTATTTTTTCCTTACTAATGTGTCTTTATCTTCTGAGGATGTTTCCTACCACCCAGGCTAAACATAGTTCTCCTCGGTTACTCTCTTATCAAGCACTTCCTTTTTTAAACTTCATAGACTGTATCACAACTTGTAGTTGCATGTTTATTTGCCCTGTTAGTTATATAGATATTGTAGAGTTAAAAAGTATCTATAATAAAGTTACTCTGATATCACTTTCAATTGATCTCAGGGAAACACAGAACTTCTATGGAGGAAAAAAAAGAGTAGGTTGTTTTAAATCCACTGACAACTAAAAAAAATAAAGCTTCTTAGATCTTACCTGTTTTTAAGAGTTGAAAATTTTAGTCTGGTCTAAAACTTGTATTTCCAAGTAAAGTCATTTGGATTTCTTATTCCCTACTATAATCCTGATCTAGGAATCTACCATGTGTGCAATCATTTTGCAAAGTATAAAGTCTTATAAGAGTAAAGTGTTATTATCAACATTAAAATAACTAGATAAAGCCCAATTTGACATACACTATATTGATACTTGTATTAACCGATTTCTCACTAATTTTGCAAAGTTCACCTATGTATGTTTGTGTGTGCATGCGTGCCTGTTCAGTCGTGTCTGACTGAGCGACCCCGTGGACTGTAGCCCTCCAGGCTCCTCTGTCCATGGGATTATCTCGGCAAGAACACTAGAGTAGGCTGGCATTTCCTCCTCCAGGGAATCTTCCTGACCCAGGGGTTAAACCTGTGTCTCCTGCACTGGCAGGCGGATTCTTTACCCCGAGCCACCTGCATGTGTACCCAAGCTGACCGCTAGACTGTACAAGCAAAAACTGACAGAAGCCCTGACATCCCTTCTAACCCTTCTATCCCCCAAATAATTCAACAAGTTCAGCCACAGCTGAAGTGAAGAGTTTTGAAACATTAGATGATAATTTACAGTGACGCCTATGACTGGCATTCATTCCTTCTTTCATAAATAAGACAGACGCTGGCCTGAAGTATTTTACTAAGAGTCGCAGTAATCCCCACCTCATCTGAGCGGGATTTGTTCCAAAGACTCCAGTGAATGACGGAAACTGCAGACAGTACTCAACACTGTCTTCTGTTCACGTCTTTCACTCACAAACTGAATGCCTTTTCCATCTTAACTAAGCACTTTTCATGTACTGTGGCCATAACATTTGCAGTCTGAAGTGCAAGAACAGAACTAGCACAAATTTCTTTTTCCTTCTTCACAATTTCACAGATTTGTTTGTACTATAGAACTAATCTTGGCATATGATTTTTTTCTTCCTTTATGAAGAGAGAACTTTCATCTTAAAGGAAGCACTTATGATTTCTTTTTGGTGAATTCAAACTGCCAGCATCACTACTCTGGTGCTTCAAGGCCATTAAATAACCGAGATGGCTACTAACTGACTTATGGGCAAAGTGATGATTTGTGTTCTGGGTGGGTTGGAGCAAGAATGTGCAAAATTTCATCTCACTGCTTAAAATGGCGTGCAGTTTAAAATTTATGAGTTGCTTATTTCTGGAATTTTCCATTTAACATTTTCTAACTGAGGTTGCCTGTGGGTAACTGAAACCTCTGAAAGTGGAACTGTGGATGGGGGACAGGGAGAGACTACTGTAGTCAAGGGTTGTTTTTGTTCTGTCAGTAACTGGTGTTCGACTCTTTGTGACCCCATAGACTGCAATATGCCAGGCTCCCCTGTCCTTCACTATTTCCTAGAGTTTGCTCAAACTCAAGGCCATTGATTCAGTAATGCCATCCAACCATCTCATCCTCTGTTGCCCCCTTCTCCTCCTGCCCTCAATGTTTCCCAGCATCAGGGTCTGTTTCAATGAATCATCTCTTTGCAACAGGTGGCCAAAGTATTGGAGCTTCACCATCAGTCCTTCCAATGAATGTTCAGGGTTGACTTCTTTTGGAATTGACTGGTTTGATCTCCCTGCAGTCGAAGGGACTCTTAAGAATCTTCTCTAGCACCACAATTTGAAAACATCTTCAGTCTTCAGCCTTCTTTATGGCCCAACTCTCACATCCATACATGACTACTGGAAAAACCATAAAAACCATAACTCTGACTACAGGAGCTTTGTCAGTAAAGTAGTGTCTCTGCTTTTTAATATGCTGTCTAGAGAGATATGTCATTATGGCCTTAGTTAAGAGACTTCAGAACATACATTGCAAGGCGTATTTTAAATAGTATTATTAATAAAATATGATTATAGTCAGTATGATTTAAAATATTCAGAAAACCTTTTACAAAGAGCTTATTGCTGTAATTATTAATCTTTTGATAGTACAAAAGAACAGCATCTTACGTAAAAAACACTACAGCATGATATATTGTAAGCTATTCAATATTTGTGTAGCCATTTTTTTAAGGTTAGGAAATACATACCAAACAGATAAACGCTTCCTTTTATTTACACACATTAATTATTTGTAAGTTTTTCATGAAAATAATCAAGTGTCTGTGAGACTGTGTGTGGGTACATGCATGATAAGAATCCAAAGCAGCTTGGTTTTGACAATTTTGAAGGTGCTCATTAGGAAGATTAAGAAGACCTGTGAGGGAAATTATCCTCAAACAATGAGCAAGATCAGATTCATATAGATAAAATGATGCCTAATTTGAGCAGACTTACGTATTATTTTGACTATGCTAAAGCCTTTGACTGTGTGGATCACAACAAACTGGAAAATTCTTCAAGAGACAGGAATACCAGGCCACCTGACCTGCCTTCTGAGAAATCTGTATGCAGGTCAAGAAGCAAGTTAGAATTGGGCATGGAACAATGGACTGGTTCCAAATTGGGAAAAGAGTATGTCAAGGCAGTATACTGTCACCCTGCTTATTTAACTTTTATGCAGAGTACATCATGTGAAATGCCAGGATGGGTGAAGCACAAGNCAAGAAAATGAATTTAAGATGATTCCAACTTTTGAGTTTTATTTTCTTAAAAATTTTAACAAATTTATATATGTTGAACACTAATTCTTGGACAGTTTATTTTTATTAGTTTGGATCCAACTAATCTAATGTATTATGAATGAGCCAGCAGCCCAAATCTATTAAAACATGTTTCAACTGAAATTGCAGGCCAATCACAGCAAAAGCGATGGAATAACTGAAAAAATATGTTTTCATGATAATTAAGACCAAGAATTCAAGAAAGACAGAAGAAAACAAGCATTCAAGGATAAAAATCAAATTTTCTATATAGCTTAGGTATTAACTGGAATGGGGTCTTGGAATTACCAACTTTTATTTGGTGCAACAATAATAAAAATAAAAAAAAAAAAAAAAAATTCAAGATTTTCGGGGAATTTTTTCCTGAATGGAAACCTTCACCAAAAGAGGTTAAATGATTTAAAGGTAAGTTCTTTCTGCAAAATGAGTAAAAGATATCAGTTCTAACTCTGACTGAGGTTACTGAGGTAACCAGCCATCAGGATATTATCTCTAATATTTAGAAGGGAAACTGGTAGGCTGGGAGAGGTAAGACCTTATCAGAGAATTCTAACAAGATACAGCATAACAGAGTGTCTACCTAGGTATTATCCTTACCTCTGTAAAATCTTCAGGTAAAGGGGAACCATCACAGTATGTATCTTCTGCTCTCTCTTCAGATAACTTCCCATTGGCTTTCAATGCACCTGGGCAAGAGAAATGGGCCAAGAGGAATTAAAATGCTCTGTAGAGGCTTCACGGTATCCTTTAGGGTACCAACTTACTCATTCTGGTTCATCTACCTGGAACATAGGCATCTCCTGCTGCGTTATTTTGGTTTAAAAGATTCTGAGCTTCCTCATCCACAACATCCAGCAAAGACTGGATAACTTCAGCTTCTTGGGGATCATCATAGTTCTCATCTTCTTGTCCATCAGATTCTTGAAAAACAGTAATCAACATGAGGTTTTACTTTAAAAAATACTGATAGGAGAAAGAGACCATGTGGCACATATAACATGCCAGGTACTTCATATTTTAAGCATTTACTCTGAAAAAGCAGCAATGACAGGGAAAGCATTTTTTACTTCTAGAACTATTCTGACTCTTAAGACAAAAGGCCACACAAATGCAACTGAATAAACCAAAATCAATGTGTGTGATATACCTTTTCATGAAATATTAATAATTTAATGTTTTATTTCCCTAAACTAGTCCTAAATTATTAATTTATAAAAGAAACTAAAGAAGTTCAACTAAAGAAGTTACAAAGATTATGGATATATAATATATAATAATAGGGCAGCCCAAACATCTTTAAGAAAAAATTTCTCAGTTATTAGGTAGCTTGTGAATTGCTGCTTCAAAGAAGCATTATCAAATAAAGCTGCTCTCTCTTCAAGCAATTAAAAATTGCTTTAATCTTAGAGGTGAGAATGAATACTGGAAATTTGTACAGTAGTATAGCTAATAATATTAATTTTATGCTATTTTTTTATTTCTTTGAACAACAATCTTTCCTTGTAAAATACAGGAGCATGTAAGGCAAATAAGAAAGGCTACCAATATTTCTTTAACACTTAAATTATTAGGGCACTTAGAGTAATTGGGTGGCTGATTTGGAAAACTACCTTTGTACAGAATCAGGTTTGCTGATTCCTTTGTCTGATAAGTAGAACATTTTCCTTCAGGGTACAAAATTTCAATGATTTCTTCTCCATTAACCTAAAGTATAAAAAAAAAACAAAGCAATCATTAGTTTACTATTTTACTAACTTCCAGGATTAGGTAGAGACTGCACATTGCCCCTCCATGTCCTTCTTCCCGTCTTTCTCAGTAGAAAATCCTTCTTCTATCTCCCCACATTGCATCAGTGCTTCTAGGAAATACCAATGCAATGATACATGCAAAGGGGATGGGCCTTTCCATCATCAAATATGTCTAGAAACACTAGATTAAACAACATTAAATCAACATTTTTATTTCACGAATTCTCATAATGCTTACTAATATAAACTGTGAGTTGTCAAAAGATAAATGCATTGTATACTATTTCCTAAACTTACTTGACTACAGAAATCTCTTTTTAAAGCATATTTTATGGGACTTATCTTCCATAGAATTTTTCAGAAAAGTTAAATAGTAAAAAAAAAAAAAAAAAGTTAATAGTACTACTAAACTTAGAAGTTGAGGGAAATGGAAAAAAAAGTCAATCTTTTAAGTATCTGTGAAGTTGTTTCATGGACACAGTCTTCGATTTAGTGACTTGATCAACTGTTGGCTGTAAAGATTTTCAAATCTAATCTAAATCTCATCTTGGCTCCAGGAAAAGAGCAACGGATTTGTAACTATAAAGTAATTATTAAATGGAATGTAACTTTTTAAATTTGATGGTTAATTGTGAAGCACTTCATGGCATGCAACCTATAAGAAAGAAAGATGATTAGGGGAAAAAATGCAAAATTAAGTAATTTGAATAAATGAAAATAATTTATACAAATAAAAGGTGGTTTGCTCTAAAGATTTTACCTTTTAAATTAAAATGAAAAGGATAGTAGATGCAAGGATAAAGTTATTCCTAAAAATAGTGGTTGCTGCTGTTGTTCTTTAGTCACCCAGATGTGCTGGACTCTTGGCAACCCCATGGACAGTAGCCTGGTAGGTTCCTTAGTCAGCTGGATTCTTGCCTTAGTCAGGCAAGAATACTGGAGTGGGTTGCCATTTCTTCCTCCAGGGGATTTTCCCAATCCAGGCACTGAACCCTCATCTCCTGCTTGGCAGGCAGATTCTTTACTACTGAGCCATATGAGAAGCCTCAAATAGTGGTTACATAAAGTCAAAAATTTCATTGGATTGTAAAACTCTGTTCCACATAAGAAATTCACAGTACAAATGTTAGTATGCAAGGACAGAATATTGTTTGGGAGCCTTCCTGGAAGATTTTAATTCCAACAAGAATGTCTGCAATCACAAATAACAAAAGTTCTAATTTCTAGAGTTTTATGTTAATTTAAACAAACTCTACCCTTTCTCCCTTTCAACAACATGGTGATATTTACAAAGAAAATAAGCACTACACGGCATGATTAACACTAGAAATACGTGGAAATTCAGTTGCTTCAGCTATGTGAAATTGGAGACCTTCTGAATAAACAGAACATAATGTGTAGTCATGTCTTAATCTACCAATATACAGACACTAAGAAAGTTTTACTTTTGTGTCCTAATCATATGACAAGCTAAACCATGTCATAAGTTCGAGACAACATAGTGAGATGAAAGGCATGGAATTTGGGGCTTCTGGTCAGTAAATTCATTTTCTCTTCCTGCACAAAACCCAGCTCACTGCCAGAAATCTTGTCGAACTGATAAGATTTTCAGATTACTAGGAGGGAAATGCCTCAGGTCTGGATTTTACAAGGAAAAACATTCAAGTACTGAAGTTCAGAAGAGACTGTACCAGATGTGTCTGAGATAAAACAATTCCACAAAAAAAGGATGCAGCTGTGAGCTGTGTACATTACACGAGTGCGTGCCTGCTTAGTCATGTCTTGACCCTTTGTGACCCCATGGACTATAGCCTGCCAGGTTCTTCTGTATATGGAAGTTCCCAGGCAAGAATACTGAAGCAGGTTGCCATTTCCTACTCCAGAGGATCTTCCCTACCCAGGGTTTGAATCCACATCTCTTGCATCTCCTGCAAGAGCAGGTGGATTCTTTACCACACCACCCAGGAAGTCCCATACATTACATGCCAGAAAGTCAAAAGAAATGTTAACCAGACAAATGGGCATACATGTAGCCTTAAATAAAGAGCTGGAAAGTGGAATTTAATTACATATTAAAACATTTTGTTAAATCACCTCCAGATTTCTCTATCCTAATCTTAAATGATTTAGGTTCTTTCATTTTATTATGTAGTGAAGCATTTTCTATGTCTTTCAAAAAGCAAGTTTTGCCTCATTAGTAGCAGAGATTTGTCATTTGAGAGTAACTGCTGGTCAACGTTAACCCACTGTTAACTACATTCTTCTCTTCTGGATATCTAGGAGACAACCAAAATAATTGTGCACATTAATCAAAAAATCCCAGCACTAAAGCTATATATAAGTAATTAGCCTATTTAAGAGCTGAATGTGTGCCTGATGATGAAGGATTACTTGTGTGTGGGTTTCCACTGTGTGAGTTACTTACTAAATCCTATTGTTGTTGTTCAGTCGCTAAGTCATGTCTGACTCTTTGTGACCACAAGGACTGCAGCACGCCAGGCTTCCCTGTTCTTCACTATCTTCTGGAGTTTCCAAGTTCATGTCCATTGAATTGGTAATGCTATCTAACTATCTCATCTTCTCCTGCCCCCTTTTCCTCCTGCCCTCAATCTTTCCCAGCATCAGGGTCTTTTCCAATGAGTTGGCTCTTCACATCAGGTGGCCAAAGTATTGGAGCTTCAGCATCAGTCCTTCTAATGAATATTCAGGGTTGTTTCCTTTAGGATTGACTGGTTTGATCTCCTTGCATTCCAAGAGACTCTCAAGAGTCTTCTCTAGCACCACAATTTGAAATCATTAATTCTTTGGTGTTCAGCCTTCTATACGATACAACTGTCACATCCACGGGCTTCCCTTGTAGCTCAGCTGGTAAAGAATCTGCCTGTAATGCAGGAGACCTGGGTTCGATCCCTGGGTTAGGAAGATCCCCTGGAGAAGGGAAAGGCTACCCACTCCAGTATTCTGGCCTGGAAAATTCCATGGACTGTACAGTCCATGGGGTTGCAAAGAGTTGGGACACGATTGAGCGACTTTCACTTTCTAACATCCATAGACAATTACTGGAATAACCACAGCTTTGACAACACGGACCTTTGTCAGCTAAGTGATGTCTCTGCTTTTTAACACACTGTCTAGGTTTGTCTAGCTTTCTTTCCAAGAAGCAAGTGTCTTTTAATTTCATGGCTGCGGTCACCATCTGCAGTGATTTGGGGGCCCAAGAAAATAAAATCTGCTTACTAAGTACATGTATCTAAAATCAATACATGTATCTAAAGAAGGTGGTCTTTCACTTACCTTGGAGAATGAGTTTTTAGGTGTGAGTGAAGGTTTGCCACAAGGCTCCACGATGTGAGGGCCTGAAGGAAGAACAGAAAGAAAAAGATGAGCCACTCAGAACCACATTAGGGACAATAGTGAAAGAAGACCCACAATTTCTATGCATGTTTACTTTTACTAATATACTGAGAGGTCATAATACCATGTGATTTAAAATCAACTAGATGGGATCAAATGTTAGAGGAGGGTTTAGCCCAAGGACAAAGTCAACTATTTTTCTTAAAAAAAAAAAAAAAAAAAAAAAAAANGTATCAACAGTCTATTCATTTTTATTGCTGAGTAATATTCTACTGTTTGAATATATTATTGGGTTGGCCTAAAAGTTCATTAGGGTTTTTCCATAGGCTGCTTATACAAATGGTTATTCATTCAAAAGTTCTTGGTCATTTGAGCGGTTTCTGATTTTGGTAGTTACGAAGAAAGCTGTAAAAAAAATTCCTGGACAAGTTTTTGTGTCTGAAATATGCTTTATTTTCTTCTGAGGAAACAAAGAAGAGGAATGGCTGGATCACACAGTAGGTATGTTTAAATTTTTAAGAAATTGGCAAACTGCTTTCCAAAATGGTTGTACCATTTTACATATTCATCACTGCAAGAATATTCCTATGAATGATACTATATGATTTTTCAGAATTCATAAAGAAATTAGGTCAGAGAATCCCATAAAGACAGATTACTAGGCAGTTTCTACAAGGAGGGCAGGGCACAGCTACTTTCCTCAGTCTTGAAAGTTATGAACGAGTCACTAGTCTCAGAGGTCACTAGACAAGTGCTCTCCTGACTGTTGTGTGAAGTAGCCTGACTCTGCTGTGAACCAGAATTATCAGAGAGCAGCAGGAAGAACCCCTAAGGCATTCAAGATAACAACGGAGGAGGAGAGAAACAGCTGTGCTTCAGCTTTCAGAAGATAATCAAACCATCTGTTTTGGTACTAAGATATACTGGGCTTCCCTGGTGGCTAGGTGGTAGAGAATCTGCCTGCAAAGCACGAGGCCCAGATTCGATCCTTGGGTAGGGAAGTCACCCTGGAGAACGAAATGGCAATGCACTCCAGTATTCTTGTCTGGACAATCCCATGGGCAGAGGAGCCTGGTGGGCTACAGTCCATGGGGTTGCAAAGAGTTGGACACGACTGAGCTTCTGAGCATAGTGGTGACCAAATACCGTAAAAGTCTAGCTCTATTAAAAAGTACTGGATTTACATTTCAAACACTCTAAGTTTGACCACGTTCCCCTGTGCCTGACATTCTTATATGATATGAATACTGCCAATAAAAGCTACATTTACCAAGCCTGATTATGTAAATAAGAGCATGGAGTCAGACATCCTAGGTTTAAATTCTGCTTTGACTATTTATTTACCCTTTGAGCTTGGGCAAGCTATCAGACTTTGCAGTCCCTCGGTTTTTGCTTCTATAAAAGGAGGATATAACAGTCTCACAGAGTTGTTGTGAGTATCTGAGCACCTGGAAGAATGCTTAGTTCAGAAAAAGCATTAAATTAATCTTAACCGCTGCCACCACTATTTTTTTTTTCTTTTCTTTTTTTTTATTTTTCTTTTTAAAAAATATGGAACGCTTCATGAATTTGCATGTCATCCTTGCGCAGGGGCCATGCTAATCTTCTCTGTATCGTTCCAACTTTAGTATATGTGCTGCCGAAGCGAGCACAGCCACCACTATTAATACTATAATTTCTACTACTAGGCTAGATTATAAGACAGATACTTTGTTTACTCATTGCTATACTCACAGTGCCCAGAACTCTGCCTGGCACAGAAAAGAAATTCAGTAATTGCCTGAATAAATTACTATGTGACAATCATTGTAATAAATTGACATATTATTGTATTTATGTCTCATTATAACCTTATAAGGTAGATACTTATATAATAATCTTTTCATCTCTCTGGTAGAAAATAGAGGGTTAGATATGGATCAAGTAACTTGCTAAGGTTACACGGGACCTAATGAACTCAGGTCTGTCTGGCTTTAAATCCCAGGGTCCATGCCGCTCCACTCTTTCCTATTATGCACTGAATTTTAGACAAGCTTTTATTTAAATGACACTTTTTCACTTAGATCCTGCAAAATAGTCTGGAAGGGCAACAGAACACTTTAGTGATAGTACCCAAATTTGCTTTTGGGAAAAGATAGTTACCTCTCCAAAACTACTTGTATCATTAAAAAAAAAAAAAATCACTGTATCCTTACCATTGGCTTTGGCTGACTTTGAAGCTGAAAGAGAAGACCTCTTGGAACTGGAAACCACCGGATGACCATCTCTGTGTTGTTTAAAACAGAAAAAGAAAGAAAACAATATTGCAAATTATTTAAGATATTTGCTTAAGTATCCTTCAAACTATCTGTTAACCATTTAGCCTCGAGTTTTATTTTGGATGGGCTTCAGGGGTTTAGGTACTTTCTGAAGCTGTAGACAAGATTTTATCAGTCTTCATCTATATATGCTGGAAGGAGATATTCATGACTGAAAAAAGATTAAGAATCACTTCTTTAAACAATAAAATAATAACTGGCTAGTTTGTAGCTGGAAGTAGGATGAAGGGGAAGGTAATTGGGACTTCTACTATATCTTTAGTGACTTCAGCAAAGATGAAAGTAGAAAGATGAAAAAAACTGATATTAGATCTGGGGAAAGGGATTTTCTGGTGGTGCAGATGGTAAAGAATCTATCTGCAATGCGGGAGACCTGGGTTTGATCCCTGGGTTGGGAAGATCCCTTAGAGCAGGAAATGGCAACCTACTCCAGTATTCTTGCCTGGAGAACTCTGTGGACAGAGGAGCCTGGCAGGCTACAGTCCATGGGGTCGCAAAGAGTTGGACACAACAGAGTGACCAACACTTCCACTTTCTTTTTCAAGAGATACTCTAGAAATTTGGAGGCAAAAAATTCCAGAATCAGAAAAACATTTTCCCAAGTTGTCTGAACATTTCTCTCCTTCATTAATTAACATTCAGCTATATTTATGAAAATAACATTAGGCAATCAAATTTTTATAAATATTGAGGGAAACTGGTCAGGAATTATGTTCAAGGGGAAAAGTATACAATCTAACTTAAAGGTTCAGAGGAGAAATAGGCTTATGATAAAATGATTTATTAACTGTTCGTACATGGTGGAATACATACTATGTAAAGTTCACCCTGTGTCACAAGCACAAATGAGAAGTTTTCTCTTATGTAATGTAAGACCGTAATCTAGAAAGCCTGGGTTCATGTGCATGTGGAAAGCAGAGTAACGGCTCAAAAGATATCTGCATTATAATCCCCAGAACTTTTGAATATGTTATCTTGCATGGCAAAAGGAATTTTGCAGGAGTGAGTAAATTAATGACCTAGAGATGAAGAGATTATCCTGGATTATCTAATGTAATCACAAGTGTCCTTATAAATTAAACAGGAAGGTAGGAATGTCAGAGTCAGACAGATACGATGCCCAAGGGTGCTGTGATCGCTGGCTTTAAAGATGACTGAGGGTTATGAGCCAAGAAGGATGGCTAATGTCTAAAAGGAGGAAAAGGCAAGGAGATGATCTTCTCCTTTGGAAGGGATGCAGCTCTGCTAACACTTCGATTTTTAACCCAATGAGACTATTTTGTATTTCTGGCTTCCAGAACTGTTAAGATAATTAACTTGTATTGGTTTAAGCCACTAAATTTGTAGTCATTTGATAGCAAGACACTAATACATACATTAAAAAAAAATATTTCCATTATTAAGTGAAAGAAAAGTTGCTATTAGCATTTCTTGTAATGGGAAATGGTCAGGAGGTATAGTGGATGCGACAGTCTATGCCCCATTGGTTGTAGACATGAGGTTCTGGTAGGACGGGCTGTGTTCCAACTCTGGGAATCGGCCAGGATTGGCCAGGGCCAACCAATATATTCTCATTCCTTTGGCTCATCAGGACTTGCCTGAATTTAGGTCTAAGGCAACTGACATGCAGTCCTTGCTTTACTACTATGATCAGTTAGACTTGTCTGAAGATTGGTCTGGACAGTGTGGGATGCACATTAGTCATGACACTGACACAGCCATTTGACTATCATGAAGGAAACATGTAATCTTTACTAATTCCCCATCTAATTAGTCTCTGAATTACTAATTCAGGAATACCTTTAAGAGAATCTAATGGCCTGAAATGCATGTGTGCAGAAAAATCCATGAATAACTATGGTGTACCTTGTAGCTTTCAGTACCACCGAAGGAAGTGACAGGTCCAATGTTCGCTTAGCTTCCTCCAGAGACATGCCTTGTGTGCTGACTCCGTTCACATAGTGGATGATGTCTAAGAGCTGGAGATTACCCTCCGTGGCTGCAACTGACCTTGGATTGATATCATTAACATACACCACTTGATGAAGACTGTCACGACCTCCAGATAAGGAAAAACCTTCAGGAAATAGAAAAATATTTGTTCCCTTAGGCTTAACAGTATGTATTTTTAATCTATCCAAGAAAAGTCACCGTGCCCAAAGTCTGAATTTGCATTACCCAGCTCCTCTTGGTTGCACGTAAATGTGACATCAGGTAGCAGATGAGGGAGCACTGGCATCCTGGGTAATTCCAGAACTCGGCCAAGAACTAATCTGACTGTCCTGGGCGCAGCTCGGAGTAGGTTCACTGCATCTGTGTGGGTCATGTTTGTAACATCTGTATCATTAACCTACAGAAACGAGAAAGGGCCAAAGTGGGATTACAGTTTTGGGAACACAGGAGTTGCCGACAAAATACAGTAATTTCTCTAACTTTTCATACAATCTATTTTAGCCAGTAGGAGATTCACAATGAAGAGTGGTCTCTAGGGACACTTCCCTGGTGGTCCAGTGGTTAAGAATCTGCCTTGCAATGTAGGGGACATGGGTTTGATCTTGTCTGACTCCTTGTGACCCTATGGACTGGAGCCCATCAGGCTCTTGTGTCCATGGGATTCTCCAGGCAAGAGTACTGGAGTGGGTTGCCATGCCCTCCTCCAGGGGGTCTTCCCCACCCAGGGATCGTGAATGTGCGTCACCTGCATTGGCGGGTGGGTTCTTTAGCACTAGCACCACCTGTCTGGTCGCACTGGCGCAAACACAGTCTGTTTAAACGCCTTACCCTGATGAGCCGGTCCCCAGGCCTCAGCCTCCCGTCACTTTTGGCTGGATCCTGAACGACATCGTGAACGTAGCAACCAGCGCTCTGACTGCCTTTGGTCACTGTGAAGCCCAGGCTTCCTTTTTCCGACTTATTTAGGGTAATCAGGAGTTCTACCTCCTAAGGGAAGAAACAGTGATTCTGCTTTGCTATACAAAGACAAAGACAACTGTTCTTTCCATTGATTAACACAGGAGAAAACTAAACCTTAAAAGGTTGCTTAACTTGCCCAAGTGAAGAATGCAGGTAAGTATGTCCAGTTCTAGACAGAAGGTACCCCTCCAACCTCCTGCCTGCCAATGTAAAACAAAATGTGGGCTTAAATTCAACATTAGGTGCTTGTCTGGTGATGGCTGACCCAGAACTTACTTAAGCTTCAATTCTTATATTTTCAGAATAAACAAGAACAAACACCCATGCCAAGAGCAACAGAAGAAAGCTTTCCTTGGGTAAAAACATGAAGTCTGGGTGATTAAGTATCACAACTTGATGTATTTAGTTATATGGAAAATTTTTCTTTAAGATTTCAACTGAGGCACAAGGCACAATGACAGATTTCTAAGGAAATCATCCAAAGATTATTTTCACTCTACTGCTGAGAATGAAATTGAAGATGTAGATGCTACACACACACACAATTATAGGGAAACAAAGTGCCTGGAAAGATTAAAGTGTTTATGGGTTTTGACTGGTGATGGTTTTAATCTGTTCCTTTGTTTTCTAACTTTTCTATAATAAGTATTTATTACTTAGATAACAAAAAAAAGTATTAAAAGGGTGACTTTGTCTGTGTTTTGGGTATTTTTTTTTTTTTTTCAATTTAAAAAAATACTATATTTATCAAAAATTGGAACTACCAAAAAATTTAGAATTCATAAATTTTTTTTCAAACAATTTTTTTTCACCTTTTACATTTGAAATTAAAAATTCCAAGTGGTCAGACAGAATGACAGAAATGACAAAACTCAGATTCTCTTTTTCTTCAGATGACTGTGCTATCACTGTTTATGTCCAAGGGATATTAGTTTTATTAGAAATGTGGCTTCCAAAGTGAACTTGTAAGTTTGGATGTTCTAGGGTTATTAGTATAATACAATGAAAAGGATTCCATTTCAGTTCAGTTCAGTTCAGTCGCTCAGCCGTGTCTGACTCTTTGCAACCCCATGAACCGCAGCACGCCAGGCCTCCCTGTCCATCACCAACTCCCAGAGTTTACTCAAACTCATGTCCATCGAGGCGGTGATGCCATCCAGCCATCTCATCCTCTGTCATCCCCTTCTCTTCCCGCCCCCAACCCCTCCCAGCATCAGGGTCTTTTCCAATGAGTCAACTCTTCGCATGAGGTGGCCAAAGTATTGGAGTTTTAGCTTCAGCATCAGTGATTCCATTTAGGCACCCACAAAACAGTGTGGAAGAGAACAAAGTTACATTCAAACTTGATTAAAGAGTAAACAGGTAACTTGTCAATTTGGGAAATAATAGGTACTGGGTTAGGTGCTCTAATATGTTATTTCATTTAATCCTAACCACAATACCATGAGGTTACTAGTCCTATTTTACAGCTAAAACTAACTACTAAAACTCAGAAGAATTAAGTAATTCATTCATAGCATCTGCCAAACTACAGCAAGTCACTGGGAGAGTCAGGACATGTACCCAGGTCTTTTTGTCTTTTCCCTGAATTCTTAGCAGAGAAACATGGCAGATATGTTGTCTATTTACTGAGTATAGGTATGAGGCTGATCTAAAGGACAGCAATTTCCCTAAAGGAAGCTGTGTATAACTACATTTTACTTGAGAAAATATAGAATGTTCTTCATACAAAGGAAATAACTCACCAGTTCAAAGTCTTCAAGGTGGTTTTCCAAGTCATTTTTCAAAGATGTCAAGCTTTCTCGTCTAGTTGGTTCAGAAGTGTGATGTATATATCTATCCATTGCATTTATTGAAACAGATTCTGATTGAGATTGACAGCTCTGCCCAGGAGTTACATCCAGTGGTTGAGGGGAAGGAGGGTTACTACAGAGACAAAGCAAGACTATTTTCAAACACATTGCAATGCCAGTATAGTAAGTTTGTACCACAGATAGAAAATGCTTAACAAACATTTACATCTGCTTTTTAGTGAGGTCATTTTTAGTCTGATTCTGGACTATAAATTTACTTCACATCTGTTATATGCTAATATTACTGATTTTTATTCTCTGTCGATCTCTTTAAGCTGCATAAATCAGTGAAAAAAGTTAAATATATTTTTGATTCCCAGTTGTTAATTTTGGAGCTGAGGCTGAAGCTAATATTATCAGAAGCTTAATGTGTGTTTCAACATAATAAGAAAAAAGAAATAAGGAGCCTTACTCTTGTAGTTATTTTGGATGACATGACTCCTGAGTGTGTCACGATGACGTTGTGCCTGTGACATCATGCTGCTTAGGGTCTGATGCAAAGCTGAGCTCCAGCTAACATTTGGGATTTTTGCCGGAGCTTTCGCTAAGTCATCTTCTCCACTCCCACTGCTGTCACTGTAACTGTCTCTCCTGGATGCGGACGTGCATGGGTTCCTGTTTTTGTCTGACATCTCATTTTCATCTGAGCTGGTGCCTTGCTCCGCACACGCTGTCTGAGGAGGGTCTTTGCTGTTGTTCAGAGGTACTTGGGCTGGAGAGTGCAGGGGGGTCTGTAACAGACACATTTAGAAAGATCAGAGTGACAACTTATATTAACATATTTTCATTTAGGTGGAAATGAAAAAATTAAACATCAGTACTTCCTGTTAAAATATTTAATTTTTTGATAGAAGTAATTTATGCTCATTAGAGAAAAAAAATCGTATGTAAAAGTAACAACTATTTATATTGTACAACTTGTACTTTCATTCAGAATTAGAGTCATAGTATATATTGTACTTTGTATCTTGCTTTCAAAATTTAGGTTTCTACCATGAGTAGTTTCTGAGATCCTTAAACATGCTTTGCAAACAGCTGCATAAACTGTATAATAATCTTACAATTGGCTACAGGTTTTTATTGGATACAGATTTCTTTCTAGCTTTTCACTATTAATAGAAATCTAGAACTTCTTTGTATGTAGGTTTTCACCTGAGTTTCTCATTATTTCCTTCCAATTTTCTGTAACAGAAATAGAATTTTCTATATTCAGAACATAAGATGTTTTTAAAAGCCTTGTTAAATAGTTCCAGATTGCTTTTCAGAAAGATTGTATCAACTTATATCCTCAAGAACTGAAAGAATTTCTCTGTTCTTCCTATCTGATGCCTAAAACCAATGCAGTCTCTTAAAATGCTATTGGCAATGCACCTTACAGAAATGTTAGTTTCCTGTTAATGTCTTTATAATACTCCCTCCTTCTCCCCAATATAAGGGTTAAAGTTTCTGGGGCCAGACACTACTGTCTTTGACACCCAGTGATCATGTTCATTGGTAATGGAACACTATTTTTAGTAGACAGGCCAAAGGCTTTCAATTAGATTATTATTCACTTATGTCTGGGTTCCTAACTACCAGTATGCAATTTATAAATAACCATCAAAATAGATTTTTGGGCCTTTTAGCTATTCCTTCACACAAGAGAGGGAAATGGATAAACATATTGCCTACTCTGTATTCCCAGTATTAAAAATTAAGGCAAAAAAATCTTAAATAATTTTCATTTTCATCTAAACTAACTTAGAATGAGGATTATATTTTAAAATTAGATTCAAAGAAATGGACAAAAGGTTTTTGTAACCAATATTTTATGCCTTTTTCTACTTATGTTTGGAAAATTAATTCCCCAAATCCTAGAATCAGAAGAGAAAGAAGAGAAAGTGAATTACTTTATATTATAAACATCAAATACACTCACAGGTTATGTGACCCATGTAAGATAATACTCCTAGCTAAAGAATGAACTAGGATGAAACCGAGGAGATTAATCAACAATGAAACCACTACAACTGAGTTAATCACTCTGTTGACATGCTATAATAGTGTGAAATACTTTTCCTCAGTCTCACCGAAAGAGCAGGGTCAATTTCTGGAAGCACCCCAGGTGGAGGTCTACAGAGGAGCAAGGATACTTCTGGAGACGTTCCCCTGAGAGCAGATATGACCTCCTGGGGGAACCATGAATGAGAAATGAAGACACGGTTAAACCATTTCATTCTGAAAGGTTGATCTGTCTCATTAAAAATGCTGCACTCCACATGTTGGGGGCTCACCTGTTGAGACAGTCCTTTCAGAGAGGCTCCATTCACTTTCAAGATAACATCTCCCACATCAATTTGTCCACTTTCTGCTGCTGGCTGTCCAGGAAAGAGCTTTTTAACCCTTACTATGCTGGTGTTCATTTGCTCGGGTATAAGATTATCCTCTCGAGAAAAACTGAATCCTAGGCCTGAGCTATTTTTCAGCAATTTCACCTCAAATGTATTCTCTGGAAAAAAAGGTATCAAAAAATGTAAATATTCTTAACAGGCTCTCTCTATATATGCATGTATAAACATATATACTTTTGAATACATTTTTAAAAAGCCCATTTCCACACTCACAGCTTTTTATGTACTTATTGCACCCTTATTCTATATTCAAATCCTAATTCACACTCTGTTATTATGAAAATTTAACTTATTAAACTGAGCTGCATAAACTAATAGGCTGCTTGATTAGAAAAGTGGGTTCTGAAAAGAAGGTTCTAAAAATGAAACTGTGTCTTAATTCTATATCTTTTATAAGACTGCAGAATGACAGAGAAAAAGAGGAAAAAATCCAAGAAAGGAGACAGAGAAATTCAGGCATAAAAGGGACAGGTATGATAAGAAGAACAAATGACAGAGAAGGGTTATGGGGAAGTGGATAGGTGACCTAGTATTTAGGTGAGATATAATTTAATTCAGTAAAACTGTAAGGCATGATGATAAAATTCTCATCAACAGAAAAATAACCAGGAAAGCATGAAGAAACATATTTAAAGACAAAGTAATGGAAGAAATAATGGAAGAACAGAAGGCAGTAAGATTAAGTGGATATGCTAATCTTATTTTCATAATCAGGAAAGATGATATAGGTTGGGCTAATATTTTCTTCTTATTTTGGGGATTAATTCAGTGTTGCTGAAAGTTGTATAAGCAAAGAAAAATCTAAAATAAAGACAAAACAATGCTTATGTACCACCACCACCATTTATAAAGGACATTTATACCCATCAAAAGGAAGACAAATAAACTTAGAATGAAGAGTACTTCTGTATTATGAATACATTTAACCTTATGAAAAACTCACTACATTAGTCTTGATTTCCTTTTTTCATTATGAGTTAGTGACATACCCAATTTTACTACCAGTTAGCTGGCAAAGTTTGTAAGGAAAACCAGTATCTGGGAACTGTTAGTGACTTTCTATTCAGACTTAGCTTCACAAGTCCATAAAATCAAACAGAAAAATAGAAAATATGAGTCAAGGTTTCATATGTATTTGAAGTCATTCTCAGCAATTATTTATATTTACTTTTTTCTCTTACAAATTTTATTTTGAATTTTACAACTATTTTAGGCACCACTAAATGACCATCATCCGTTTTGTGCCTGGTTTCATTAGCCAAAGCCTTTCAGACTTCAAGAGCTACAACTGTGTGTGTTTTTTCCCCCCTAAATTCAGTACAGTGCTGCCTTACATTATTATTTATACTTGACAAGAATAAAGAGATCCAGTATGAATTATGATCCAACATGTAAAGATCAAATTTTGAATAATCCAGGAATAAGTTTAAAGTGAGATGACAGCCTCCCCAAGGTCTGACCTTCAGTAACAAAGCTGTAGTCTTTGACATGAGTCATTTTCTTCATCATTTTTTCTGGGGCTTGACCTTGGGTATCCGGATCTGAGAGGGTACACTGGGGGACATGTTCTTTGGATGCTGGAGACTGTCCTTTTTCTAACAACAGATGAACCACCTGTATTAAAATCATTATTATCCTAATAATATAAAGACCATTATAAGTAATTTGGTAAACTCCCTGACTTAAAAATGTATTAGAACAACGTGAATTTATCCTTTGGGCTGAAGGATACCTAGAAGTGAAAACCACTAGGTATCTGTGGATGTTTATGAAAAAAAAAAAATGTTAAGGCAATTTCTCCCCTTCCCCCTGGTAGATCTCTGGTGATATTAAGGCTAAACGTGATATAGAAAGCCTGCTTCCACAATAAAAATCTTTGTCATAATATTTGCTTCCCAATTTGTAAGGAAAAAAATACGAGTATGTTTACTTACATTAATTAGGCTTTGTTTCTTGACTAATAAATTTGGAGATCTCAGTGAAATTGGTATTATTCACACATTATTATGTTCTTCCAAGGTATCTAGAAAACGCTGGTATAATGATCTCTTACCTGTCCTGTATTTCTCAGTGTTTCCACAGCTTGTTTGTGGGTAGCCCCTTCTAGACTAACTCCATTCACAGCGAGGACACGATCACCTATAAATTAGGCAGTAAAGATGAAAGAAGCAAGTCATAAAATGAGGATTCTACATGTTCTTTAATACCTTAAGGTCTTGTTTTGTAGTAATTTGCTTGAGAGAGACTCAGACAAATTCTGGACAAAAGTCTGTCACAGAGTTTCTTTAACATGTACTTAATTCCTTTCGCTATTCTACAGCTAATCTTAGATATATTTTCAAACTGGATATTATATGCACTATAAAATCAATTTTAATTATGAAATAAAAAGACACACTGAGCTACAAATGTAGAGAGACGGGAGGAAACTACCCTCCTTAGCTCGTATTAGAAATGCAGATGGCATTGTTTTTAGAAGGGCACTACCCCTTTCCAATTCTCTGGAAATTTGCTTCTTAAAAAGTACAAAGCATGAACTAAAACAAAATATTTTCTGATACTAAATAGAGGACGGGCTTTCCTGGTAGCTCAGATGGTAAAGAATCTGCCTGCAGTGCCTGAGACCTGGGTTTGATCCCGGGGTTAGGAAGATCCCTTGGAGGAGGCCAAGGCAACCCACTCCAGTATTCTGGCCTGAAGAATCCCCATGGACAGAGGAGCCTGGTGGGTTACAGTCCATGGGATTGCCAAGAGACAGAAACGACTGAGCGACCAAGCCCAGCAGAGGATAAGCTGGAAATAAGAGTTTTTGGAATCATATCAAGGAGCTTTTTCATGTTGCAGTCTTAAAATAATATGTTCTTATTTTATATTACGAATAATTTGAATGTCTTCATCAACTTCCCCATTTCTTCTTTATTTGTTGACATGATAATCTTTATGTAATTCCCATACCCACAAACACTCTACCTTTGTGAATTCTGCCATCAGACTCTGCTGCTCCCTTGGGAATAACGGCTTTCACATAAATGCCACCATGTCTGACACTGGTATTCACACCTCCCTAAGTGGAAAAAGACAAATAACATTTTGTCACATGAAAAATGTCGCGCTCCGTCTTTCAGGTCTGAGACCTAGAAAGCATTTCATTCATCAGCCAAAGCAGTAGCACCACATTAGCACATGCAATTACTTCAACACCCAAGAATATTTCTAGTAAGTTTTCCAAATGTGAATGCAGCTACTTTTTAGAAACATTCTTTATACAGAAAATAATGACATGCCAGATCTTTGCCTGGATGAGCAGGTACTCTTCCTTTTAGAGGTCTATACCATGCATTAGGTACAAATGGCAAGCAAAATCCAGCTGTGCGATATTAGTGTGAGAATATAACTGTCAGAAATAAACAGCATATGAAGTAATATACTTCAGATCATATTTGCTAATCTGAAAGCAAATCTCATGAGTCAATGGAAAATTTTCTTCTCATTTTAAAAGGTTTTGGTATAGAGGTTGTGCTACAGAGTAGGTGAGATCTAATGAGTAGATGCTCCATCTCTTGTGGATATCCAGCTTTTATTTCCCTTCACAGTAGGAAGATAATAAAATTCTAAAGAAGTTATGGACAAGATAAAAAGGGTTACAGTATTGAGAACTGATAGAAAATCAGGTTTTCTTTTGGATCTCTATATGTTTAGAGTGCTATTTCTACCTTATTTCTAAATGGCTTTTCATAACAAAAAACATCCTTCAAATATAAATGATAATATTACAGTTTAAGGTACAGTATATTAACAGAATTCTAAAGCAGTTTCATCAAATAGTGTATGCTTATATTTTAACTTCTTTAAAAGTATTACACATATTTTTGGGAACTTCTAATATTAAGCTACTAATCATATTTACATGCCAAGATGTATTATGAAGTGAAGGGCATATAAATATATATTAGACTTTAATTATTTATGATGTAGGTTAAAATTATTCCATGCTGATGAAGAAGCTACCAAGTATATACAAGACATACTTCTCAATTTTATATTTTTCAAGTCTTGTATTCAGATTAAACAAATATGAAATCTCTGGGGGAAAACAGCATTTGTCTAATTTCTTTTAAACCACAGGAAAAAGTGACTAGAACACGTGTAAGTTTTTTAAAAAAGTCTTAAGATATAATTCAATTTAAAATTCTGCAAATATTTGACAAGTCTCCCTTTTAAAGCAAAATAATTCAAAATAAATTGGCATACGATAGGCTGCTGGAAATGGAGAAGAGAAAACATTTGAAAACCTTGTCAAACAGTACCGTGACACTTATCCCCAAGCTGTTATCATTTTTAGCCAGTTCAACCTCAAAGATATCTCCAGGTTTAGGAGGTGATGAAGGAAAAGTTTTAAAATTCATTTTGTTGGATGTATTCATGGAGGAGGAAGATTCCTTAACAAAGAAAAACAAACAAAAGCATTTCTTGTTAGAGTCAAACTGAATTATTAATGGAAGATCTTTCTGTTTGAAAAATTAAGTAAAAGCAAGATATTAAAGGACAGAGTAGACTCAAAAATGATGAAGGCTGGAAAAGATCTTAAGAGTCATCTAATCCAGTGCCTTCAGAGTTTAAAACTGAGGAAATTGAGACCTAGAGCTTAAAGGGCTGGCTTCAGGTAAAAAGACATGGCTGAGGGAAGCCCAGAATCCAGTTCAAACCTAGGCTTTTAAATAATCCTTATCCAGTGCTTTTTATACACTCAAACTTAGAAAGCATTTCTATTTCCTTTAAAAAAAAAATCCATATATATCATATAGTAGCTTTTAACTTGGGCCTTTAGATGAGTAGGCCTCAAGTTTATTTTGCTGATGTTTAAATCCAATACAAACACAGGCACAAGAGCTAAACCCAATCTATAGGAACATAACTCTCTCAGGAGGAATACTGGAGGCATTAATGAGGAATGTTTTTCAGTGAACAAAGGGCTTAAGGTTCTTTTCTGAAACCACTTGTGAAAACAGGTCTAAATTATATCATGTCTAATATTTCTAGGAAACGGTCAATTTTCTATGTTATTGTTCTTATTATCATACATTCAGAACTTCAGAGTAATTTAGGCTGTTAATAGTAAAGTCAACTGTCCATTATATGAATTACTTGGGAACAATTTTTTCAGATATTAAGTTCTCTTATTAATATAAATATTAAGTATGCAAGAGAGAAACAATTTATAGAAAACAATCATAATCTGGTTATTCATTCTTTTGTGTAATCATGAAGCAAGTTTCCAGAATAATAGCCATTTTGGAATTAGTATTCAAAGCTGCTAATTTCTCTGAAAGTTAGCATCAAATGCAGTAGCAGTTAGTAGCATCATACATAAACGATTTCTCCTTTCCAGAATAATGTACTCTGTTCATAGTATATTATTCTGCTCTATAATACATTTGCTGTTGTTTGTTTTGTTAAGTGGGGGAAAAAAAAATAAAAACCAAGATTCAAATTAAACGGTGCCTTTTTTGGTATGTGATGATCCTGACTGCTGGAATAAGTGGCTTCATCCATGTCTGAATCTCCACGGTCAGAGTAATCTGGTGCATCAGAAATGCCTGTGTTTTTAGCTTTGCTTCGGTTACTGTCAGGAGAAGTCCACTTTTTCTCGGTGGCTTTGGATATCACAGATGGGGAAGGGCTGCCACGCTGTGAGTCCTGCCAGCTGCGGTCACCTGCATGGCTGGCAAAGAACCCATTGACCTGGCTCTGTGACAAGCTGGCACTCTCAGTCCTGGAATCCTGAGAGCTCAGGCTTCCCTCCCGCAGGCCCCCAGACAGCCCAAAAGAGCTCTCTGAGATGTGCCTCGGGGTGCCCCGTGGCCAGCAGTGATCCTCAGAAGAATTTGCAGCGTTATCTTGCAGGTGGGAAGGCTTTTTCATGTAGCTTTTCATGCCATTGGCCACGTGCACAGGAGGAGAAGGCACTGAAAAGTCAAAATCCGTCCGTGAGAATGACAGGTTAGTGACACACGCCTGGGCTTACATACATGTATGATGTTCCCTGTAGCTGCTGGGAGGCTTTTACGCAGGATAACATGTGCACAACACCTGACCCAGGACTTGGAACCATGACAAGGTCCCAACAAACACTGAAGATGCTTTCTGCTTCCTTTGCCTCCTCTTTTGGTCGTTCTTTGGGCAACTTCTACGGGAATGTATACCCACTTCATCTCAACTCATTTCCATTCCCTAAGACCTGTTTCAAGTAAGTCTCCTCTGTGAAGACTTTCTTAATTCCCTATCCAAAGATAACTTGAATCTCCAAAAATCCTTGATCCTTGTTGAATGGTTATTGATATACTTGTTTTATACTGTCTTAACAAACTGCATGTTTTAGACTCCAAGTCATTATCAAAGAAGGTAATTCCATACTCCTTATATACATAATTCTTTTAAAAAGCCACTTAGGAAAGCTTTCCTAAGACAAAAATCACAGGTGACATGTGTAGAAGAATTATAGATAATACATTTACGTGGAATCTAGAAAAATGGTACAAAATTATACGGTCTTTTACATATATGTGTCTTTTACATACATATGTCTTTTACATATGTGCCTTTTACATACATATGTCTTTTACATTTCTGATATGTTGGCACCTTTTCCCTTTTATAAACAGGTTCAAGACACGATTTCATAGATAACTGTTATATAAATATATTAATTGGGCAATGATTAAGAATTTTATTTCTGATTTGGCCTAAGATGTGATAGAACACACCAAGTACTTGGAATTTACTCAAGTGATACTGATTTTGCACAACAAATCATTTTTATGCATGTAGACAGGAATGAGACAGAAAATCTTAGAAGTGATGAATGAAAGACTTGTACTGATGCATAAAGCAATCAGAACTACACATACTAAATTTCCAGAAAGGAAATAAAAGCTTAAATCTACTTTATATGTCAAGGTTCTGAATTTTTGTGGGAACTGGAACAGAATCCACAGCTCAGAGACATCCACAGTGTTACCTTTGGATAGCTTTTCCTTTGGCTGAGAGATAACGAGGGTCACATCTTCAGGTGCATTTTGCAGAATTTCAACTGCGGCATGGTGGCTGACCCCCTCCAGACTGACACTATTCACAGATATCAAACGGTCTCCTGTAAAAACAGACAACCCAGGTCTTCTACAGCAAAGAGAAATTCAGGCTAAATCTTAGAAATGTTACCTCCCCCTCATTATTTTGTTTTACCCAATTTCTACTTTTGCCATCTGTGCAAATGCACTGTCAATAAATACTTCAAAGTGAAGTGTTAGTCGCCCAGTTGTGTGGCTGACTCTTTGTGACCCCATGGACTGTAGCCTGCCAGGCTCCTCTGTTCATGGAGTTCTCCAGGCAAGAATACTGGAGTGGGTAGCCATTCCCTTCTCCAGGGGATCTTCCCGACCCAGGGATCGAATCTGGATCTCCCACATTGCAGGCAGCTTTACCATCTGAGCCACTAGGGAAGCCAGTAAATACTTACAAAATTCCCTAAATTACCTAAAAATAAATACCTGGCTTTAAGCATCCATCCAAGTCAGCTGGTCCTCCAGGAGTAACTGAACTAATAAATACACCTAGATCCAGTCTTCCCATCTTTTCTCCACCAATAATCTGAAATCCTGTGAATCATCACATTAAAATAAAATGTTCATGGGGAGGGGCAAGATACGGATTAGGAGACTAAAAGGTATAAACTACTATGTATAAAATAATTAAGCTGTAAGAATATATTACATAGCACAGGAATATAGCCAATATTTTGTAATAACTATAAAAGGAATATAACCTTTAAAAATTGTGAATCATTATGTTGTACACCTGAAACTTACACAGCATTATAAATCAACTGTCTCAATAAAAAAGTAAAAATGAAAATGTCTCATGATATTGGTGCTTTCAAGGACTAATGATGAGTCTGCTTGACACACAGAAGTGTACAGACTCATACTGAATATGACTTAATAGGTAACACATGTGAGACGGGACTTAAATTTGGTGGAAACATTGCTTGTAAGCATTTCATCTTTGGCATTTCCTGACTGGGCAAGTGGGAGAAGGGGACTCAGGTGGGCAGGTTCCTCAGTGCCAAGGTTATGCAATCGACCTTTTCGTTCTGAATTCTCACAGAACTTGAAGAATCTCAGTGACTTACCTAAGCCATACTGTGCATCTTTTTTCAGGTTAACCAGGGTGATCTCCCTTTCTGGTGAAGATGCTATGCTCCATCTTTTGTGTAGCACATCTATGGGGAAATTTTAAGATACAATTAACATAACATGGTTAGGCATTGAGACTGTCTGCTTGTTCCAATTTAAATAATAAAGCTCACTATTAGATTGCTCAGTCACTTTAAAATCATATTTTAAATAAGATGCTATTATCTATCTGCTGATAATGAGTTATAGTTTACCAAATGATTATGTTATTCATTTATTCCTTATAAATGGTTCCCTGTGAAATCAGTATATTTCAGTTACAAACGTATAAATAGATCTCAAGAAATTTAATGATTTGAGCAGGTTTACTCGGTTAGTACTAACAAACTTAGGTTGTTACACTCTATGTCTTTCTGTCACATAATAGCTGACCTCCTGAAATTGACAATGCTCAATATGTTATAAAAATCTTCTACTAATAAGTGGCTGGCATTTCTACTTGTATGAGTAAAAAACATTCATGGTAAACTCTAAGGTTTACGAAGAGACAGGATTAAGTCTTTTAAATTCTAATGACTTGGCTGGCACATTCATATTCTCAAAGGGCTTCAATTTATTTCTTATTTTATTTATGGAACAATCTCATGAGGTAGGCAAAGAGATTTTTAGTCACTTTTTAGCAGATAAGGAATAATAGTTCATGACTTGCTCAAGATTATAGCGGGCATCACTGCCCAGCAAAACACCTTAGGGACTTGATAAATGCTAAATACACTGAGTGAATGTTGGCATCAAAACTAAAATTTATTGTTTCTTATTTCCACCTTTTTTTTTTTTAAGCAAGTGGATCACTGAAAAGTATCTCCTAAATTAAACCAATAAACATGCCACATAACTGTCATATTATTAAAATTACTTCATTTAGTTAGCAATCAGAGCATGTGAAAACACAGAAATACACACACACACTTCTTGTTATGAGTTAAAATGTGTTCCTCCACCCTTTCCATAAATAAATGTGCTGAAGCAATAACTCCTAGTACTGCAGAATTCATAACCATATTTAGAGACAGGTTTTTAAAAAGATAATTAAGTTAAAATGAGGTGTTTAGGGTGGCCTAATGCAATATGACTTCTTCCTTATAAAGAGGGGGCCTTCCCTGGTGGCTCAGACGGTAAAGCGCCCTCCTGCAATGAGGGAGACCTGGGTTTGATCGCTGGGCTGGGAAGATGCCCTGGAGAAGGAAATGGCAACCCATTTCTAGTACTCTTGCCTGGAAAACTCCATGGACGGAGGAGCCTGGTGGGCTACAGTCCACAGGGTCGCAAAGAGTTAGACACAACTGAGCGACTTCACTTTATAAAAGAGGGAATATGGATATAGACATGTGTGCACAGAGAGAAAAGCATGTGAAGACAGAATACCTCCACCTACAAAGTCAAGCAGTGGTCTCAAGAAATCAATGCTGCTGACACTTTGATCTCAGACTTCTAACCTCCAGAAGTATGAGAAAAAATCCATGTTGTTTAAGCCTCCCAATCTGTGGGACCGTGTTATGGCAGCTCGAGTAAATCAGTACATTTCTTAACATCAACTGAAATTTAATAGTTGACACTTGTCTGTGTGTGAGGAGGTGGTAGTGGCAGCAAATGAGTTCAACACACTCAGAAAGACATCTGTTTAAATCTGCAAATTTATCTCTAAATAGTTTTTAGGCATATTGAAACTTTTTGAAAATTAGAGGTTATCTGCCAACATATGACTACCCATGGATTTCAAATTGCATTATTATGTTATTAATAATAACATGTTACACAACATGTACTAATGCTTAAACGATGCACATGTGGTAGTTCATATTCTAGAAATAGACTCCTTTAATTTCAGAAAACAACCACCACCATCAGAAGTTCTCTGAAGTGAATTAATCTTGTCCCTTAAACACCAAGGACTAGTGCAAGCTTGATAGCTTCCTCTAGTATACATGTCTCTATTGTGTTGTTTCTTTTTGACCAAAACTTAGTTATAAATTCAGCTATAATCGACGGAAGTAGTAGTAGTTCAATATTTCTAACTAATGAGATATCAAAAAAAGGAAAAAGATCCCTGGACAATGGTGTGAAGAGCCTTATATATTGGGTTTATACAAATAAAGTTCATGAACTAGTTATTGTCTTAATTAATATTATCTAAGTGGCTGATATGCTGCTACTGTGGCTAAGTCGCTTTAGTTGTGTCTGACTGTACTTTCATACTAAAATAGATGATTAATTTTCAGCTAGAGTTGAATAAAAAATACAACAGAATGAAACTGATAAAATGAAACAAATAAGGGATGAAGTCATGTTAGGTATTAAATGTAAACTTTTATCATCACCATTGTGAAGACAGAGTCCATTTCCTTTATGCAGAGTGTTTCTGCCTTTGATTATAAAAGTGATCAATATTCTGAATGTTTTTAAGGAGTATCTGCTACAAGTCAAAGATACTGATTCAAAGAATAAAAATGTCATTTCTTTATTTTCATTTCTAACAGTATGTACTTACAAGATTGGTTATTTATGCTACTTATTTGGCTAAAAATATGTGTGTGCATGTATATAAAACATTTCCTAGGTAAACAATATTGGGATATAACTACACACATACATACACTAATTATGAAATTTTTTTGGTATTTTTTTCTCTAACTAGAAGCAACAGATTAGGCTCTCTATATTCAAGGATTCATCAATGAGATTTGAATATTCATTCACTCAGTTATACTTTCAAATTTCAAATATTGTGTTGGCCAAAAAGTTCGTTTGGGGTTTTCCAAAACATCTTAACAGAAAAACCCGAGTGAACTTTTTGGCTAGCCCAACATCTGCTGAATAATATTCCTGTGAAAGTCCCTCATTAGGCAACTGGAGAAAATAAAAAAAGATAATATAAAAAAGTGATTATATATATGAAAACTGCTAGCGTAATAAACTTGGCTCAGATCAGAGCTCAATGTGATCAGGCTAGAAGAACAAAGATTTAGTCTGATTGATTAACAGAATGTTAACCACTCAAAGAAATATTTGTATCACAAAAGTATGAGTTGGACCAGTAAGAGCAGAGAGATTTCTTCCCACCAGAAATAAAAGACTTCAGGGACAAGTGTGTGCATGTGCGCATGTGCACAGTCGTGCCGACTCTTCATGATCCCATGGGCTGTAGCCCGCCAGGCTCCTCCGTCCACGGAATTTTCTAGGAAAAATACTGGAGCAGGCTGCCATTTCCTTCTCCAGGGGATCTTCCCAACCTGGGGATCAAACCCACGTCTCTCACATCTTCTGCGTTAGCAGGCAGTTTCTTTACTACTGTGCCATCTGGGAAGCTCCTCAAGGACATGAGGTACAATTTAACAAGTGGATTATGTGGATGGTACACATGTACACCATGGAGAAAGAAAAGAAAGTGAAGCTGCAGTCGTGTCCGATTCTTTGCAACCCCATGGACTGTAACCTACCAGGCTTCTCCGTCCATGGGGTTCTCCTGGCAAGAATACTGGAGTGGGTTGCCATTTCCTTCTCCAGGAGATCTTCCTGACCTGGGGATTGAACCTGGGTCTCCCGCATGGTAGGCAGATGCTTTACCTTCTGAGCCACCCTGGACAATCAGGTAAGGCATTAACAAAAGCTGAGATGGATAAAAGGTGGAAAAGCTTCTGGGAAGATGGCACAGATCAGCTTGGCTAAAATACAAGATGAGTCAGGTGGAGTTGAGTATTATTTTGGAAAGTGAAGCTTTGCTAACCTACTCTTTATAAAAGGGAACCACCCCCATCATCCTGACTTATTAACATGGGGACAGAGGAAGGATGTTGGTGTAGAGCTATATGTTAGTAGCAGTACTGTGCACATACTGAATTTATATTTATCTTGTATTCTATTCACATAGATGTTCAAAATAATTTTCTGTTGGCTTAGAAATAAAAAGACAAGTATCTGGAGGTATATAGTACATAAGAACCCAACTAAATTTAAAGATATAGAATTCAACGAGGATTAAATAGAATTTATGAATCACTGAAAGTGAAGAGCCAGACATTTCAAGACATTTCAAGTACCAAGACATTTCTGAGTTATTTTAATTACTGTATGGAAATAAGCATTAATATTCAAGGTAAATATTTTTTATATCTTTAAAATAATTTTCTTTTTCTGTGGCCACAGCAAATTCTGCAAATATTTTAAGGTGTGAAAAAGAGGCTCAAACAGAAATTTCCACTTCTTTAAGTAATACATGCTGGTGTTATTCCCAATAATGTTTACCTGTGAAATATCTTAAGAACTGATACATGTATAATTTAGAAATTAAAGGTACACTCTCTGCATCATTAGAGACTGTTTCAGTGTTGCCTTTCTCATCTCTCAAAAGGTTCATGAGGATCTATTAGTTCCCAAGTAGAATAATTGTAGATACTAATGACAGATACATATATGAGTAAGCTATCTGAATTTCCTAGTAAAAACACTTTTCAGATAAGGCCAAGGCATCTAATTGATTTAAGTGAATCAATAATTCTTTTTCTAAGGAAAATTATTTTTTTCTGGTTACAGACCCTTGTCAATTATCAAGCAGCTCCACAAAACTGGTTCTAAGAGGAAACGGGCAACAGGCAGAGGAGGCTCCTGATGAACTCATCACTCACTCTAGGGAAAAAAGACCCATTTCAAACCCAGAGGTGACGGACCAGCAGCACTACGTGGGTATAAAAACAGAGAGGGGTATTATTCATTGTTATATCACCGTATACACTAACTGCTCTGGTGGCAGAAGCAGAAAATCATGATGGAAACTTTGGTGTTTTGTTTCTGTGACAGCACAAATTAGCTATGTGAAATGGAGCCACATAACATTTCAGGGACATATTTAACCCATTCACAGACTGAAAGGCTTGGTTTAGATGAAACTTTTTATTTTTTTTTTCAGATAAACTTTTAAGTTCCTTTCAGTTCTCAATTTATCTGACTCTATATTTTGTTTCTGGTTAATTCTCCTATCTGCTGAATTCTCTGTGAGCACTTTGGACTTTTATTTTTCATAATCTTCAACTATGTACGTATCCTAATTAAACTTTAGGTGGGGAAAAAAAAACCTAGCATTTAAATTATACTGGTCCTTGATATCTGACTAAAAAGTAACCTTTTAATCTCAAAAAAACAATGCAATCTACCAGATTAAAAAAAAAAAAATTCCCCTAACCTACTAGCTAAAGGGAACAGAAAAATAACAAAGCCCGCAAATAGCAAAGCCCAAAGGAAGGAACAAAGCCTAAGGAAGAAAATAATAATGATCAGAGAGGAAGTTAAAAGAGGAGAAACAACGAACACTGTGCATGCTCAGCTGGGTCTGACTCTGGTAGTATCTGAATCTACGGTCCTATGGACTGCAGCCTGCCAGGCTCCTCTGTCCATGGGATTCTCCAGGCAAGAATACTGGAGTGGGTAGCCATTCCCTTCTCCAGGGGATCTTCCCGACCCAGGGATCGAATCTGGATCTCCCACATTGCAGGCAGCTTTACCATCTGAGCCACTAGGGAAGCCAGTAAATACTTACAAAATTCCCTAAATTACCTAAAAATAAATACCTGGCTTTAAGCATCCATCCAAGTCAGCTGGTCCTCCAGGAGTAACTGAACTAATAAATACACCTAGATCCAGTCTTCCCATCTTTTCTCCACCAATAATCTGAAATCCTGTGAATCATCACATTAAAATAAAATGTTCATGGGGAGGGGCAAGATACGGATTAGGAGACTAAAAGGTATAAACTACTATGTATAAAATAATNGTTATCGTTACCATCTTTCTAAATTCCATATATATGTGTTAGTATACTGTAATGGTCTTTATCTTTATGTAAAAACTCAATTCTTGACATTAATTAATTCAGGGCTACTTGGAGAGATTCAAGGAGAATCTTAAAGAAAATACAAACTTGTCTGTAAGCCAACACGGGAACGCCTCCATGGGAAGGTGGATTGGCCCTGCTATAGAGGGCAGGTGGGAAAATAAAGGTGCCCAGAGCTTTAAACATAGACCCTACTGTCCACAGGTTGTTCATTTGGTATTCAGAATGTAAGTTCACACTTTTTTTCTGTTAGAATCTAAGTAAAGAACACATTTCAGGTTCTCATCCTTGAATACATTATTATCCAGCTTCTTTCAAAAGTTTAGCTGGGAAAAATAATACCTACAAATAATTAGGCATTATTTTTCTAGGAGACAGTCTAAAGGGTGGTTTAGAGTGTGGGCTCTGGAAACAGAAACCCTGCATTCTCATTACAGCACCAGCTTTTGCCAGCTCCGTGACATACTGTGCACCTCAACCTCTTTGTTCTTTGGCGTCTCATATGTGAAAAGAAAATAACATTAGACCCACCTCACAGGACTGTTGTGGGGACTGAGAGCTAAACATAACACACTTAGAAAAGTGTTTGGCACATAGTAAGCACTAGGGAACTGTCAGACAATAAGTACAACCATTACGGACATGTTAATAATTGAGCTCTTTTAGGTATAGAGGTATTCTAACTTTAGTCCATGAAAAACAAACCAAAAAAGCTATATAACAGCTTGGTTACCAAAAAGCTATACAACAAGGTCTTAGTAACTTAGGCCCAAGTATAAGTTGACTAACTTTTTCTTTAATCGTATGCCCTCAGATTTTTTGAGGATTGATACATTAAAAACTATGAAATAAAAAAAACTTTATTTGTTCTGAGTATTTAAGATATTATAAAAGTAAAAAGATCTACTTTGGGACACAATTTTGCTTCCAAGAAAAATGTTCTCTTGCATGTATATTTGTATTTCTATTAGAGAATGAGAATTATACAAAATAATTTACTGGGGTCTGACAGTTTTGGCCTACAAAAACACGTTTCATAATGGTTCAACCAATATTCATGCTTTTATTTTTGCCTTGGCTCTCAGGAAAATGAGAACAAAACTTAAAAGTTTCATCAAGTTTAACTATATTAACACTTTTTTTTTTATATTAACACTTTTGATTAGCATATTTGCTTCCTTCTCATCAGGCTTCTGATTATTTCAACTTTAAGAATTTAAGGGTAAAACGTAAACATTTTTGGAGAAAATATAGTGTATACATAGTGATAATATTCTTTTTTTTTTTTTTTAAAGTTTATACCATCTTTTGCATTTTTTTTTTAAATAAGTCACACGACGTGGCATGTGGGATCTCAGTTCCCTGACCAGGGATCAAACCCGTGCCCCCTGCAGTGGAAGGGTGGAATCTTAACCACTGGACTACAGGGAGGTCCCGATAATATTCTTTAGACCCATGAAAGATGTTAGAAAAATAAAAATAATGTACACGAAAGTAAGCTAAATTCTAAACATTCTGAACCTGAATTCTGAATGACTTTCAAATAACTGCACAAAGTTTTTTTTCCCTATAATTCTGTTTCTTCTCAGATTCTTTCTAAACTCTTTACCTCAATATTTAAAGTCTTCAGATTCTTCCCAAAAGATTTATGGTAAGATTCAAGGACAGTCCACATTTAGTTCTTGACCTTCACCTTGACCCCAACACACCCCCAGTCTGAGATTAGTACATTTCCTTGAATCTGGTTATCTTCTCCCATGTCTGCATGTCTTTGATCACACTATGTCCTTGGTCTGAAATACTTATCTATATCATTCTGCCTGAATAAATACTCCTTTTATTTCAAGATTCAGTAGAAGTATCCCTTTCAAATAACTACCTCAGTTAAAGCTCTTTTCAATCAAAATTATCTCCCATCTAAGCTATCTTAGCTCCCCAATTAGTGTCCTTATCTCGAATTTGTCACTTCATAGTCGTCTACATTAGAGGTCCCTTCACATCATCAAAATGCTGAAAACCAAAACTCTCCTTTGACCTCAATGTAAGGCAAGGCCTAAGATCCTTGGCAGGGAATTGAAAACTATTTATTAGTAGGTCCACGGCGCTCTTACAAGGTACAAGAGAAAAAATATGATGGAAATGAGGGGAGAAACATTTTGTAAACCTACCATTTTCTTTTAAGGGTACTTGGGATGAAGAATTTCCAGAACTATGCAAAGTCATTCCTGTAGCATAAATTAAATTATTAGACAGTTTAAAAATGGTCAGATATTATATATAGAAGAAATTTCTTCTGATAAAATAATAAAAATCAATAAAACATCAAGGCAACAACAATTTCTGTTATTTACACTCGAAAAACATATCTTCCCACAATGAACTTTTTAAAAAAAACTACTTTTAATGTCCAAGTTAAGCATATCAACTTGTTCTGCAGAATAAATTGAAACACAAATGTATCTGACAATGACATTTTGATATGTCATATATGAAATGATAAAACTAAAATGATTTTTAAAGGTGTCTGTTCAAATTTTAAAAGGAAGTTCAATATTCAAAAAGAATGAATAATCAATCAAAAACAAATACAGCAATTTTCTTTCATGGTTGAATTTTACTTGTGCTTTTCTATGGAATATTTACTACTCAGCACCTGATATGTGATGAATTTTTATGATGAACAAAGCCTTCCTAAAGAAAATAAGAGTCTGTAAGAGATCTCATTATACATGAATACACTTTGAAAATTACTTTCTAAAAGATTGAATTGGTGGCTTTTTAGCCTATTTTCAATGCATAGGGTAACCTATAAGATGGAGTCTTGTCTTTCAGCTATTTAAAGTTTTTTTTTAACCAATTCAATTTAAATTATTGATAGTATAATCTCTGAAAGTTGCAGAAATCTATATTAATGAAGTAATGTGACTTTCTATAAATATTTAACAACTATAGTGTACAGTTCTCTTTGACTTCATTTATTGCACTTATCCCCAATCCAATTACAGGGTGAGAAAATACTTTTTAAACTCTTGTGTGCTTAGGGCTAACCAATCAAATTCAGTTCTAAGGGGGAGTTAATCAGTATTATTTAGTAAAACAACTGCAGAGGGCATCCCTGTTGATCTCTTGTCTCCCTAGTTATTTATGCTTAAATATACAGTCTTCTGGAAGATGGATTCCCACGTTTTTTTCCCTTTTAAGATGCACAGAACAATGGGAATCCTTAACTATTTATAAGGTAGTGTGCATATGTATCAGCAACACAAATGGCTTTTGTCTAAAACAGTTCATAGCTAGCTGGGAGAATCTGAGAAAACTTAAGTCAACTAGGAATTTCTACTTAACAACCATAGCACAGTTCATAAAACTTATCTCTTTTTAGGGACAATTCCATTCAGAAGGTACCCTAAATAAACTTTTGTCCATTGTCTCCATTCAGAAAGCACCCTAAATAAACTGCTCTTTAAGACATGTAGCATTGGTGGAGTCTACACTCACAGGCTGTAGGGCAAACTCAAAGGCTAGCCAGAGCCATGGCTCCAGACTGGGTTCTCTCGGTAAGACTGTCACGACTTTGAACTGCAACCAAGAGAAAGCAAACAGCCCATGCTGTGAGGCAATCACCTGTTAAATCAACTTTTTGATTTGACTTGGTGCTTTTTATTTTTGTTTGGGTACTTCTTAGGTAGTCTGAAATTTTATATTCCCAAAAAGTTTAGACAATTAGGAAACAGGACCCCAAATTCTGACTTCCTGGTAATTAACATTGTCTCATTCCCTTCACCATGAGCAAGGGGTACAGGAGAAAGAAGGTAAGCCGGTTTGTGCTGACCTAGAACATATGCTTGACCAAGGTCTTCAAAGGATGAGGAGTCTGATTCCTGTTTCCTCCTCTCAGGACTTCTATTTAAACTTGCAACAGACTTTGAACTAAAGAGGGAAAAGCAAAGGTGGGAAGGAGGGAAGTGTCAATGTAAAAAAAAAAAAAATGGTGAAAATAAATCATCAAAAACAAAAGTATGAAATGTAGAATTTACAAGTAGGTAGTTTGGCTTAATTATGTCCTTACTTATTGAGTTTTGTGACTCCTGCCAGAGATTCTGTATCAGATCTCGCCATCTGGTGAAGCGGTTTTCCTACCAGCTCCGCCATGGTTTGTGGTGGGGGTTCCGTGTTAACACTGACATTTTTCCGGTGAGGGTAGAGAGAGGCCTGACTGAGATCGTGGTATGATTTACTCATCCCTCTAGGCTTCTCCTCCCATGCAGTTTTGCCACTCTTCTCTTTTGCACTGTTCTGCAATGGCTGGTAAAGCGACAGCTCTGAGCAGGAGAGCCTCTTCAGAATCTCAGCTTGAACCGACAGAGGTCGAACGGCAAGTTTGTTCAGGGTGCTGCTGGCCAGACTACCAGTGCTGACTGCTCGTCCCATACTGAATCCTCTAACGGACTCTGCTTGGAGGTTCAGGCTCCTAAACGAAGCTCTCTCTACAAGGAAACAGGATTGCTTTACGTGATGGAAACACCATAGGACCTTTAGGAGAAGAGCTATTTTAAGAAATAGAAAAAACAGCATGCAGTTTTTACTCATTTTGACTGCCTGCGGAAGTAGGCAGCTTTGAGAGTGGCAATCGAGGGTTTTAAAAAGCAGGTGGGAAGATCCCGATTTCCAAACCATCTCTCCATCCCTGTAGCTTTCTCACAGCCAGGGAGGGGCCTGGTCAGCCTTTCCAACTTCAGCTAGTGATCTCAGATTTACTAATGTTTGGGGTTCATTCAGGCTCGTTGACCCTGAGTTTCCAATTATAGTGCTCATTTAGAAAAGAAAATGACATTTGACAGAGAATGGCATTTAACCCTGGGAGTGCCTCTGCTAAAACACCAGGGAACCAAGGATGGGGAGAGGGAGAGATCAAACCTGGACACGCCGATATGGTGCGTTCATGCCTGAAAAAAGTTGTGCAGAGGAGAGTTTTGCCCAGAGAAAACATTCTTATTATAATTTTAAAAGCTTATGGCAGATTGTGGTGATACTTGCACAACTTGGTTAACTATGTGGATATATGAGAAAATCACTAAATTGTGCACTTTAAGTGGGTAAATTGTACGGTATGCGAATTAGATCTCAATAGAACTACTACTAAAACAAAACAAAACCCCCAAAACAAAAAAAAACCCCAAGACAAAAAACCACCCAAAACAGAACAAAAACCTTTTATGGCAAATTTTCTGTCATTTCATTTCAATGTCAATACCACCTTCCCCTCTTGTTGACTTTTTTCCTCACAGGTTATGTTTCTGTTAATTAACACATCAATGAGCTGGGATTTTCTTTATGCTTAAATTCCTTTCAGTCTTAAATACATATCCAAGTCTTCTTTTTGGGGCTAAATTTACGGATACTTCCTAACAAGTAACTGACCATTCTCTTTTGTGAGAGCCAACGTCATGTTAGTAGTTGAACATTTGAGGCTATAAATGAAAGCAATGAATCACAGAATTCTGGCATCAAAATCCTTTCATGTATATAAAGGATCAGGAGCACAGAATTTCAAATGATTTGGTTGTTCATGCATTAGTAATCCATATCACAAGGCACACACACTGGTCCCCCCATGGAAAGTACCAACCCTGCTTTGCACCCTACAGGGAATTTACCGCTTGACCACTATGTAAACAGTCGCAAAAACTTGATTTTAAAAAGAAAATGTCAAATGCTGTTGATTTGGATCTTTAGATTCTGTTTCATTTATCTTCTAATTCCTAGGAAAATTAATGATCAGTATTTCATTTCAGGCATAAACAGACAGGAAAAACACTGAAATTCTTTCATGTTCATGCATCAGAATGAAGTTTAAATAAACATGTCTCACTGTCACTGGGAAAATTCATCATTTTTTCTCTGAAGTAGAAGTGAACAGCAAGTTAAAACACGATAATAATAAAAAAAAAGGCTGGTTTCAAAATTACCAGAATAATCTTAAGCTTAAGCTTTTTTTCCCTTAGAACAGATAACATTAATTCTATTTTCTTTGAAAGCAGAATTTATTCAAAAATACAAAACTGAGTCTTATACAGATTCAGCTGCTGGGAAATCCCTCTCTACCAAATACATTTCCTTACCCTGAAAGAAATGTAGACAAATTTTAGCAGGAATAGGATTAGACAGTTCAGCTTAGGTTATGTCTGTTTTGTAAACATACCAAGGATGATGCTATTCAAATCCATTCATAGCTCATTCCTGGGCAGAATATGGCACATATTCATGGAACAGAATAATAAACCAACCACTTATCTACTGTCCTACTGCTTTTCATCTGGAATAGACTCCAACAAGCATCGCCAGAATGGGAAGGACATTAGAATGAACCTACATCCTATTACTAACGTTTCAAATTTGAACTCAAAGGCCACATTCAGTCTGCAATCTACATGATTCTATTGCCTCTTGTACTTGTTTTGCATTTACTTATATCATCAACTTAATAGTATGCTCTCTGGAAGAGACAGGCTTCATTTATTTTTGTTAACCCATAGCATCTAGCGTACAGTCTTATAAGTAGTTAAGTGCTCAGTAAGTGATTATTAAATCTTAACTTAATTCCATGCAAATTAGTTCTTTGGAAAGTTATCAAAAAGAAAGAACACTGGATTAGGAATTAAGAGATCAGGGTCCAGTCTTCTTTGACCTCTAACTATGAGGTGAAGTGAGACACTGTTTTCTCTGAACCTGTTTCCTCAGCAGTAAAAGTTTGGGCTTAATGGTTTGTGAGGTTCTAGAAAGAACCCATATTCTATGATGCTAAAAAAGCAACATACAGTTGTGAGCCCCTACTTGTAAACACTAGATTACACCAGTTATTTTCATTTGTCTAGTACAGACAGTTAAGTAGGCAGATAGTTACTTCTAAGCTGATTCCAAACAGAAAATAATTCCTTTGAAAGCTTACCAAAATCAGGGAATAGATGTAGCGAATATCACCTTAAAGTCCTTTAACATCTGAGTTAGGGATACACAGTTTGTGTTCCAAGGGGCAAAACAGATTCATTGAACATACTTCACGGTTGAAGAAAACAAGACTTTAAAAAGTCAGTTACTTTCCTAAGGTCATTCTACTACTACTATTGCTATTACTACCAGCACCACTACTATTACTAGTGGTGAAGTGAAAGTCACTCAGTTGTGTCTGACTCTCTGCAACCCCATGGTCTGCCATGTCTGTAGCCTGCCAGACCCCTCTGTCCATGGAATTCTCCAGGCCAGAATACTGGAGTGGGTAGCTGTTCCCTTCTCCAGGCGAATCTTCTCAACACAGGGATTGAACCCAGGTCTCCCGCATCGCGGGCAGATTCTTTACCATCTGAGCCTCCAGGGAAGCTCCTTTACTAGTGGTAGCTGTGGTAAAACAATGAAGATGGTGATGAAATAATGATAACATTTATTCCATACTTATTATCCTGTGCCAGGCACTTTTACATGTATGAATTCATTTCATCTTCACAATAACCTTTTGATGCCGGTATTACCATTATGATAATCATTTTACAGATGGGGAACTAAGGCAGAGAGTCTGAGTGGCCTGACCATGGTTTCAGAGCTTGCAAGTTTATAGATGTGGTTTGAACACTGGCAGTGTTGCGCCATAGTCCATGCTCTTAACTACTACACTCTATCGCTGAAATGTTGAGGGTGGAAGGCTGGCTTTACGGTTTTGACTCTTCACTACAGCACACTGTACCACCATCTATTATGATGCAGCCCTCAACTGTTGCAAGTCTGATTTGTATTGAATAGAATATTAGTCCATGTAGGAATACGGGTAGCTCTGATAAGTTTGATATTTTACTATCCTTTGAAAATACATAAGCGCATACACACTTTTTAGCAGAGCAAAGTAGGGAAAGAAAAGGAACAATAAGATCACAGTAGTAGTAGTTATATTTTAGCATGCATAAAAATCATTACAGAGGAAAGCCTGTTAAAATGCAGATTCCAGGAACCAAATGCCCAAAGATTGCAATTCACTAAGTTTCAGGTTGGTTTCTGGAATCTTCATGTTTAATAAGTATACAGTCCCTACCATCTTGATTCTGAAAAGATGAGAAACATCTAGTCATAGGTTGCCATCACCCAAGTCTGACCCTACAGGGAATATATCTTTCTGTAAGATTTTAGGACAGGAGAAAGTTTGGATAAAGAATTCATCGGGCTCTACTGCATATTTAATTTTTTAATCAAATTATTCAGAATGCTTCACTAAAGTCTCTAAGAACTGACTGTGCAGAACTAGACTTTCTATAACCTTAATCTCTACACGTGGTCTAGGGGAGAAAGCTTTAAATATTTCAGCCCTGATTATTTTCAGAGCTAAACTAGTTTCTTCTGTTGGTTCCTTTTCAAAAGGAAGTGAAATCACTCTCCTGAGTGCTCACCTTGGGCACTGTGAGTTATTCATGTCAGTCTCAGAACAGGGATGTGACCAAGTTCAACGGAAATTGATCATCCCTAAAGCTGTTATGGTACGTAGCTCCCCTTGCTCCCTGCCTTGTTTCCTACGTTTTTTCCTCATCTGGAGAGTCCTTCCATTTATTTTCGATCTTCCTAACTATCTTTGTCCTTCAAATTTCAATTCAAGTGCGACTACTCTCATACTCTCTCCTTTGATCCCCCTCTCCTCCTGTAATGTAGATCACAGAGGCTGTGCGATACAACCTGTTCTTAAAACTCTGACTCTCTCATGTGTATTGCTGTTTCATGTATATTGATCTCATCTTCCCAGTATGTAAGCTTACTACGGGTAGAGAATATGACTGAAATTTTTACTGTATTTATTGATACATGGCTAGCCTAGTGATATTGATACATCGGCTAGCCTATTAGGCACAAAATAGTTCAACAGGTACTCTCTGACTCATCAGGGCTGTTTGTTTTCAAACTATCCATGAAACTGATGCCTCGGCTTCATTTATGACACCTTTATGAATTTGACTCAGTCATTTGACATCTACGTACCTTGTCATTTTCATCCTAAACATGGAAGTCCTTTTAAAGTTTGTAGCAAAAATCATGCATTTACCCTGAGTCATCTGACACAGTTTGCGCCTCCTTACCAATATCCTGGGCATCTTGGTTGCTCTGTCTTGCTCTCAGTTGCAGCTGGAACTTGTGCTGGGAAGAGCAGAGGTGCAGCAGGTACTGGCATATCTTACTGTTGTCTGTCTGGAAGGCGTGCTTTATTCCATCTGAAGTATTCTGCAACGTGATTTTCTTTTTCTGCAATATTAATCAGGGGTGTTAAAAATTAGGGTATTTCCCTATCTAAAAACAATTCTAGAAACAATAATGAATAAGTTGAGATGTTATTTTTATTTCACATCATTAGGCATGCATATTCATTGACCTCTATCTAATATAAATACAGAAAAAGATAATCCTGTACTGTTAGAAATTCAGAAAATAAATGAAATTAATATAGTTTGCCACTATTATAAACTGTATGCCAGCCATCAACAAAGGGCTCCCCAGGCGGTGCGGTGGTAAAGGACCTGCTTGCCACTGCAGGGGATGGAGATAGGCGGGTTGATCCCTGGCTTGGGAAGGTCCCCTGGAGGAGGAAGTGGCCACCCACTCCAGTATTCTTGCTGGAAAGTTTCACAGACAGAGGAGCCCGGCAGGCTACTCCATGGGGACGCAAAGAGTTGGACTCAACTGAGTGACTTAGCACGCATGCATGAAGTCATGAGCAAGGGAAACAGATTCCTTTAAAGATTATTGATATTTTGAGTTTACTGCAATGTTTAAAAACACCAGAACTGTTTGAAAAAGAAATGACAAGAAATATATGTTCTAATCCTTTGGATAAAGAAAATGAAGTTCATCAAAAACTGGTATAATATCCAACAATAAGAACTGTGATTTAGTCAAGAAAAATCTTGGTGGCATAAAGGCTGGGCTGGAAGATGTGGGAAATTATGGAAAATGTTGGAATACAAAAGCAGATAATGTAACTACTGGGCTCAGAGATGAAACACATCAATATTTAGAGACAGTGATTCTTGCCAAATTCAGGGAAAGGAAGAGAACCACAAATCATTTGTACCTCCCTGTTTCTTAAAAAATGAATGTCACTCATATAAGAGGACATCTTAATACTGTGACCTATATGCTGGCTTGCAGCGATCCATATGCCTTAAAAGATGCTGTAAAGATGAGCATTCATCATGTCAGGGATCTAAGACTAATGTCTCTGGAGAATGGCTTGAGCCCAGTTAGATTCTGCTATAGCTCCTGACTTCTTCTACTCTATAAATTATTCCCTCTATTTCATGTCCTTTGTCTTTATGCCAAATGCATAAATATGTTCAGACAAGTCAAATTTCACAGGCTCACAAAAGATGTAACAGAGTATTACTCAAACTCTGTTATGAAGAGATGGCAAGTGCCATCTCCATGATTCCCGGGTCTTAAAAATAAAATAAGACTATTAAATTCTTGCTAGATGTTGTTACCAATGAGATCTGGGGGACCCTGTTTACTCTGTTAAAAAGAAAAAAAGGAGGTCAGCAAGTCTTAGAGAGGAGTTCAAGCCGCAGTAGCACCAAACCAGCACGCTGACTACCAGAAGTCTACGTAGTAGCTCTTCAAATAGCTGGGGAATTTTCTCCCTAACAAACATTGCCCTTTACCACTGCCAAGTAATTTCCAAGGATGCTGAACTCCACTGCTGTACGGGTTTGAAATAAATCCTAAGAGTACTGGTTCTAAATGTTAACTGATGGATGGACAAGAAATGTGCCTAAGGGAATTCAATGGTAAGAGACGAGAAGGGAAAAGGGTGACTTTTCCATCTCTCCAAAGGCCAGTGGAAGAAAAAAAGGAGAGTTTAAAAAGAGAGCTCTGTGCTAGCGAGAACTTCATGATAAACAAGAGCTGTTGAAGATGGGAATAGTTTGTGGGGAAATGTGGCTTATTCTTTATTACTAGAGATCTTTAAAAATGAGCTCATCAGAGTTTATTCTATTTTTATTGCAGGGCTGATGTGACAGCTGGGAAATGACAGAGTGCTGAATGCTGGATGATTATTTGACTTGTTGCCTTTTCAAAACTGGTCCAAATTAGATTTATTTTTAATTAATCTACAGTTTCTTCTAGGCACTTGCTCTGCCAGCCACTGGGGAAGGCAACTTAAACCAAGGTAATTTCCTGGTCTTGACAATCTTGGGAAGATAAGGATGATCTCGGCTTCCTGAGTGAATGCATTATTATCTGGTTATCTTAGTGGTAACTCTGGGTTTCATAGGAAATCAACCAACTAACCAGACTGAAATCTAGAACTGATTTCAAAGTTCTAGTTTGAAGATTATCCAGAGTCAGTTGGGACCTTCATATTGCATCCTTATAAACATTGTTCTGCTGAGACCATTGTTGTTCCTAAGTTGTGTCTGACTCTTTGTGACCCCGTGGACTGCAGCACACCAGGCTCCTCTGAGCCTGAGACCTCAGCCCAAATATATACTAAAGATGTCAGTAGTCCCTGAACACTCTCAAGGAAACAAATACCTGAACAGATTTTTGGTTTACTTCTGGGGTTTACTAATGGCACATCAACGTTCAGATTTTCCATCTACACCCCAAACCAAATATGCCTCACTATCTTTCATAAACATGCTTTTCTAAAAACCACTTTCCTAACTTTATCTCCAGAGACTATACCCTAAAACTGAAAACTGTAGAAAATCCTGAGGCTAATTTTAAGAGTCAGTAAACCTCTGGACCACTGAGACTCAAATACAGTTGTTGTGAGGGGCCTATTACTGAGCTAGACCAAGTTCACTGCAGTTGAGGTAATTATCAATCTTAAATACATTAGTAGGTTTTCTCCATGTGAGAAGTTCTGAATTAACAGAGAAGTCAACTTGGTTGTAATTTAACTAAAGTTAACTGAGCATATAACCAGTTAAGAATTCTTTTAAAAATCACCTCCTGAGGAAACCAAAAACAAAATCTCAATAATACTTCCTACAACCAAGAAAGAAGAGTTAAATATTATTAAGACATAAAGATAAGCCCTACTGAATGCTAGAGTCATTTAAGGAAAGTCAATTAATATGTTACATTGGAAATCAGCAACACCTATTTAAAGTAGAATCAAAAGAGGTTAAAATGGACATACAGAAAAAGAAATCTTCCTGGTTTCCCGCCACGGAAAGCGAAGGACAAGTGTGCGAACTCCATTGTGAACCTCAAACACGAGGACACCTTTAGAGCAGACTCCAAGCAGTATTCCTGTTTGTGACTTTTTCTCAGGGTGTACCCGGTGAAAATGAACTCCATATTCTGTCAGTCTTTGGCAGACCTGTTGGAACAATACCATAACATAGCAATGCACCTTGGCAAAAGGTGACGGAAAGAATCAGTAGTTGTATTAGTGTTGTTTAATATGGAAAGGGTAGTATCCTAAACAAATGTTGCGGGAATTGGAAATTCACATGCCAAGAAAATGAATCTTGACCCTTACTTTACCAATACATGAAAATTACCCCCAAAAGGATGAGACTTAAATATATGATAAAATTTATATATTAGTTATAATTTATAATTTATAGCTAAAAACCATAAAATTTAGAAAATCTTCATGGCTGTGAATTAGACAAAGATTTCTTAGATGGGGCATAAAAAGTAGGAACCATAGAAGAAAAAATTGGTAAACTGAAACTTCATTAACATTAGAAGCTTCTGCTCTTCAAAAGTCATAGATAAGAAAACAAAGGTAAGTCACAGACCAGGAATATATATATGTAGAATATACATCTGATAAAGAAATTGCATCTACAGTATACAAAGAACATGTACTTCTCAACCAAAAAACACATATCCAGATACAAAAATGGACAACAGATTTTATTAGACACTTCAACAAGGAATATATATGAACAACAAATAAACACATAAAATGATGCTGAAAATAACAGTAATTAGGGAAATACAAATTAAAACCACAATCATATACCTCTACTCACCTACTTTAATAGCTAAAAAGAAAAAAAAAAAACCTGAACATACCAAGTGCTATTCAGGGTACAGAGCAACTGGAAATTCCATACGTTACTGGCTGTAATGCAAAACTGTACAATCACTTGAGAACAATTTGGTAATTTTGTAGAAGTTGAATACACACTTACCATAGATCCCATCAAACCTAATGTTAAGTATTCACTTGAGAGAAAAAAAACAAAACCAAACCATATGTTCATGCAAAAATCAGTCTATGAGTATTGACATCAGCTTTTTATCCGTTAACTAAAGAAACGGTAAACAAAAATTGCTGCTTATCTGTACAACAGAAAACTACTCAGTCACAAATAAGCAAACTACTATATACACCATGGGTGGTGGCGCTAGTGGTAAAGAATCTGCCTGCCAGTGCAGGAGATGCTGGAGACTTGGGTTTGATCTCTGGGTCAGGAAGATCCCCTGGAGGAGGGCATGGCAACCCACTCCAGTATCCTTGCCTGGAGAATCCCATGGACAGAGGAGCCTGGTGGGCTACAGTCCACGGGGTCGCAAAAGGGTCAGACACAACCAAGTGACTGAACACCAGACACACCACACCATAGATGAACCTCAAAAACATTATGTTAAGTAAAAAGAGGCACACAGAAGACCAGGTGATACATGATTCTTTCAGCGAAATCCTAGAAAAGAAAAAATGATGGTGACAGAACACAAATCAGGAGTTGCCAGGGGTCAGGAGTGGGGGAAGGGACTGACTAGAAAGCAACATGAGGGAACTTTCTGGTGTTGGAAATGTGTTATGTTGGGGGCTGGCAAACTTTTTATTTAACGGGCCAAATATTTTAGGCTTTGTGGGTCAGATGATATCTGCTGTAGATACTTAACTCTGCTGTTGCAGTGTGAGAGCAGATACAGGCCATATGGAAACAAATAAGTTTGGCCAAGTTCCAATAAAGCTTTACTTACAAAATAGGCAGGCCACAGTTTGCTAACCCATGCTCTTTATCACGATTGAGGAGTGGCTGCTCAACTGTGTGTTGTTGTTGTTTAGTCGCTAAGTCGTGTCCAACTCTTTGGCAACCTCATGGACTGTAGCCCGCCAGACTCCTCTGTCCATGGGATTCTCCAGGCGAGAATACTGGAGTTGGTTGCCATTTCCTTCTCTAGGGAATCTTCCTGACCCAGGGATTGAACCTGTGTCTCCTGCATTGGCAGGTGGGTTCTTTACCGCTCAGCCAGGAAAGCCCTGACCAACTAACTGTACGTGTATCTTCAAAACTCACTGAATCGAACATTTAAAAGTGGTCAGTTTCATTATATGTAAATTATACCTCAATAAAGCAGATTTACAAAAAGAAAAAGTTTTTCAAAGGCAATATGATATGTAACAGAAGGGTAACCTTGGAAGGGTATATTAATGAGATTTAAAAAATTCTTATGTTAGAAGCAGCATGCTCAAGCTAAAGAGAAAAGGAGGAACAGGATACATTATTAGAAGGAGAAGGGCAACCTACTATGCACTAAGCACCCTACTTAGAGGGAGACAACGGAAACTCGGAGAGGTTTTCAGTACATTGTCCACATTTACCCAGCTGGCTGAAATAAAAATTCAAATGAAAGACTGTCTGAAAATCCCCATGCAAAATCGTTCCACTGTGCTAATGTCTTCTACCTTTGTTGACAAAAATCTAACTTGATATTTATTTCCTGCAAGTGTAAAAAATGTAATAACTGAGGAAAAAAAAAATAAGCACATAATGTAATGTCTTTAAAAGCAGACTCACCTTAAACAAAACAAACCATGAATCCTAGATTAAATGTGGTGTGAGTCTGTGAATGAAACCCTTTCACAGGTATTTGTAGGGCTGGGAAACCTGGCTCCCTTATCACAGAGCAGCAAGGTTAAGGAACACTGTTACATCCTGGGGAGCAGTAAAACAAGAATGCTCTGAAATTTCTCTTCCTAATAGAATATTATCACGTATTTGTTATTCATATTGGAAGCACTATCTTTTCTAATCATAAATGCACTATTATACATCTGATTTCCCCCATGACTCAGCAGTAAAAGAATTCACCTGTAATGCAGGAGATGATGGTTCCATCCCTGGGTCAGGAAGATCCCTTGGAGGAGGGCTTGGCAGCCCACTCCAGTATTCTTGTCTGGAGAATACCAGGGACAGAGAAACCTGGCAGGCTACAGTCCACGGGGTTGCAAAGAGTTGGACATGACTGAAGCGACTGAGCACACACACACACACACACATGCATCTGAGGTCTTATAGGTAGCTGGTGGCAGAACTAGAGATATAAATCACTCTTTCTAACCCCCAGTCCCCAGCATGAATTAGTTGGCATTAATGGAAAGGCTATTTTTTTAGAAGATTTAATTGACTCTTAAGCTTTTTTTTTTTTTTTTCCAAAAAAGGAAAACAACTCTAGAATTCATTTGAACTTGTCCCTCTTATTCAGGTAGTCACAAAATTGTTTATTCTTTACAACGTATCTTGATTTTTTTTTATTTTTTAAATTATGAAAGTATGATAACACATTTACAGGAGACTTGGAAGATACCTAACAAAGTTACACATAGTTTCACTATTTATTACAATATATATCTTGATTTTGAGAGTATAAAAAAGGATAAAAGAATATAATCCCTACAGATAGACATGGGTTCAAATCACAGTTGTGATCCACATTCCAGCCACTGACTTTGGGAACACTATGTCTCTTCTCTGACCTTCAGGTCCCTTTTTAACAAAATGAGAATTAAAATACTATGGTTTTAGCCAGGAATAAATAAGAGGAGATGAAGCACACAGCCTCAGTTATTGGCACCTGAGTTTCTAGATATATGGCCTCCAACATTTCTTGTTTACTTTGAAAAAATACAGTTTTATCATTTGTAATCTGGCATGCTTACCTTTAAAAATTCTAACTCTGTCTCTTTTTCAGAGGCTCCCATGTAGGTATTGTGTAATTTGGGTAGCTCTTCTTTAATATAGGACAAATCAAGTTTCTCCATCACTCGTGGAGGCAAGTAATGCTCCAGTCTAAAATACGACACACCATGAACCTAGAAAGGAGAGTGGTTTGGTAAGAAAGCCTCTTTGCTCGCTTCCTCCAGTCTTAAAGCTCTTGCCTCAACCAAGAGAGCAGGTACGCCTATTCACACTTCTCTCTGAGGAGTGAGTTTTAGAAAAAGTACAGTGGTCTTTCTCTTTTACTCAGTGAGGCAGAATAGAAAGGCTGAACTGACTGTTAAGCTTGAGGAAAGCCTGACCAAATGTCCCTAAAGTTAAGGGTTACTGTTGTGACGGGTGCTACTGGAGTGGCACAGTCTCTTCCAATTCCCTCCTTCCTTGCAGGTCCATGTACATTCAGGTGCACTTGGCCTGGAGCATGTGTTTCTGTACAGAGAGCTCTGCTAGATTCTCAGCCACAAGGATCCATGGGCAAGGCAGAAGACCCCTCTGATCCAGATTTGGCTGGAAATCCTTATGTCTAGTATCTGTGAGTTAGAAATAGGGAGCTAGGAAGGCAAGTACTAGATATCCCAAAACTCTGAAACGGGATAATTTTAAAAAGAAAGAAGGAAAGAAAGAAAGAAATCCCACACTATATGATTTTAATTAACCAATATACATGGGGAACTCTGTCATTCTGAGGCACTGGACTAGCCTCAAAAATCTCCGGATCTAAACAATAAACACTCAACCATTGAGTCTTTAACCATGCTAAGGAGAAGAACACCAATGCAAAATATTTGTCCCACAGAAAAAAATAAATCGTACCTCCGGTTGATAATCCCCGTACTCAGCTTGGAGAGCCAAGGATGCTAGCAATAAAGAAGTCTCATCATCACAGTGTATCCTCTCCTCCAAGATGTCTTTTCGCAGCTGAAGATAATACTGATGACAGGTCAGAGTGTGTCTGGGAAAATAAATACACACACAAAACATCCAGGCTATTGATCTTGAAGCCTGGGTGACTTTTTTTATTGGCATATGTTTAGTTGCCAAGATGGCTTATGATTAAGCATGAGAAATGAATAAATGATGTGGAAATATTTCTTTTATGATAAAGAAGACTTTATCATTGGTCAGAAGCAAATAATTCAGTATCAGTAAATTCAAGGGTCAAAAGACCAGGGGCCAAAAGAGAAACAGAGAAACTCCTGTGTACTCACTGTATCAGACTAACATCATCCATGAAAAATTTAATTCGGAAAAACAAAGTAAAGTTAACGGAAGCTTTGCTCTTTTTCTTTGGTTCTTCTTTCCATCCCTCTGGGGCCACTTTGGTTAATTTTAGATCAGAATCAACAAAGAAATATTCATTATCTAGAATAGAATGAGAAATACTCAGATAAAATAAAAACACTTTCATGTTGCCTTTTACTTTCTTCATTTTGTGGTCAGACTTGCACAAAACAGTTTCATACTGTTAACAGGATTGTTAAGAAGTGTGGCAGGGAATTCTGATACACTGCTACGGATGGCAGGCGGTATGGCTCTCTTGAAGACAGAGAGACTTGGATTCAACTCCTGGCCACATCATTTACTACCTGTGAAATACTAAGTAAATTATATAACCTATCCAGACATCAGCGTTCTTGTCTGTAAAATCAGGATAGTGCTAATTTCTGCTTTTTAGGGTTATTCTAGAGATCAAATGACATAATGGATATAAAACACTTGGTAGTTTAAAGCATGTGGCAAGTGGCAAGCATTCAATAAATATTAGCTAATATCTGTTATACTTGAGCTACCATTGAAACCGAGGAGGAACAATAACCATCATTTTATTTTTAGCTTTCATCTCATCCTTTAGCTTGACTCTCCTAATAACAGATTAGTCAGCAAAATCTGATTTATCCAGCATGTTTAAGAAATTAGGTACAATTTAAATAAAAATTCTGACTAATTGAATATTTTTATATAGATAGTATCACGTTTATGTGCTTTCCAGGTGACACTAGTGGTAAAGAATCTGCCTGCCATTGCAGGAGATGCAAGAGACGTGGATTCGAACCCTGGACGGGAAAGATTCCCTGGAGTAGGAAATGGCAACCCACTCCAATATTCTTGCCTGGAAAACTCCATGGACAGAGGAGCCTGGCAGTTAATAGTCCATGGAGCTGCAGAGAGCTGGACTCGACTGAGCGATTGAGCACTTTTTACATGAGTAGTCTAAAACTGTAATTAGTAAAGTGAGGGAATATCAGTACACACTAACTGAATATTTATTGGACGATTTTACAAAATCAATTATTTGTTTTTAAGAAACAAGAATTCAATAAACTAAGTTGAAAGACATTTCTTGTATGAAGAAGATAGTGTTATCCTGATCTTGAAGGGTTTCAGGGTGATTTGACCCTTCAATTGTAATTTATTGTACTTTGTTGTCAAGCTTTTTATTTTGAGGTAAACAGGAATCTGAAATATTGAAGAGAAATTTATAAATATAGTAACTTATTAAAGAAATATTTAGTAAAACCCAACTCCAAAGGGTTTCTTATTGCTATGGCAATTCTAATTGACAAATAGCAGCAGCTTCTACCGAATCTGTGTACTGAGACCACAGTGGTTGTGAATGTCAAAGGTTAGCAGACGTAATGTTTAAAAAATGTGAAGAGAGTTAGTTTCAGTCATCAACTGATAACATTTAAAAAAGAGACTGTCTCCACAGGGAGCAAGAGTGAGAGCAGTGAAAAAGCAAATGTAATAAATTATTAACACTGGTGGAATCTGAATAAAGAGTACTGGGGAATTTTTTGACTATTCTTGAAAATCTTTCTCCATGTGAAATTCTGTAATAATAACAAAAAATTTTAATGCTGTCTTTGTGTGAATAAATTAGTTATTTCTAACAAATACTTAAATTTGTGTCAAAAAAGAGAATAAGAAAGGCACTGTGTGTTCCTTGGAGAGTAAGCTGAAGGATTTGACCTGGAGATTCGGAAATAGGGTCTTGCTATACATTCAAACTCATATTAGCAGCATGCTGATTTCTAAAGTACATATATGGGTAAAATAATGATCCCCAAAATACAACAATTAAAATATATTATATAGCCAATGCCAGAGAAAAGTCTTTACGGCTGGGTACAGAAGATGCTAAAAAGACACAGCTATTAAGACAACGCGCCAAGTTAGGAAAAGAGAGTTCCTAACTCCTACTTCTCAATGCTGACATATCCATGTAGTTAGTATTTCCCCAGGGCTTCCCCGGTGGCTCAGCTGGTAAAGAATCCGTGTGCACTGCAGGAGACCTGGGTTTGATCCCTGGGGCAGGAAGATCCTCTGGAGAAGGAAATGGCAGCTCACTTCAGTATTCTTGCCTAGAAAATCCCACGGGCAGAGGAGTCTGGCGAGCTATAGTCCACGGAATTGCAAACAGGTGGACATGACTTAGCGACTAAACCGCCACCAATATTTCCCCAAAGAAGGTGAGGTTGAACAGGTATAGGAGGTCACTGTTGACAGGTTTCCATATTCTACCCTGAATTTAAAATGTCTTGGTACCTTTGAGGGTAGCTAAGGCAAACAAATGATGTTCCACTAAGCCAATATGGGCCACAACCATATCAAACACATCTTTACAAATTGTTTTGGTATCACAAGTTAGTTCCAGCCTCTGTCCACTTAGAAGCATTATGTTTACTTTTCTTCGGTTATCTTCATTCTTCCCTTTCTTGGTCTACAATTGAAAAAAATGAATGGCAGTTATCAGTGTAAACATTATAAGAATTTTAACTGCTTAAAAATCATTACCAAAATTATTTTCTCAGAGTGACAAAGTGGTTTTATTACTTACGAGGATAGACCGTGGCAAATCCAAAGATATAAATGGTTCAATTGTCATTTTCACAAACTCAGGACCAAAAAAATTCTGTGAATCATAGAAGAGGAATCAATAGTTATTATCACTTATTCTAGCTCTTTCCTTGAAAGGAAAATAATGTAATAATAATAATAGCAAACTACATGTAAGGTCATCATATTAGAACTAGAGATCAGAAACAAATGTATAACTTTCAATAAAGAAGTACAGTGGAATTATCAAAACAAGGCTGGAATGTGCCTTACACTGTAAATAGAAATTTTATCAGCTTCGAATTCTACCAGAGGTGTAAAATATAAAGCCGGGCTTTACACTGTTTTACATAAATAAAGGTTTTTATGTTTTGGACTCCAGGTAGACCCAAACTCTCTCTCTCTCAAAAAAAAAAAAAAAAAAAGGCAGTCTCATTTATTGAAGTAATATAGGGTTATCAAGTTTATATAAGGATTTGATTTTCTATTGCTAATGTGAAAAGTAACTGAATAGAATCTTATCATTTCAGAGAGTGACATTCAATTTGTCCTAAAACAAGTCTTCTATTGGGCCACATCTGCTATGTGACTACAGAAGACACATTCACCTGTAACCAAGTTCTCAGAACCCTGTATTCTTTTGTTCTAAGTAGTGGCAATTAGGGATATTATCCCTGGAAAAGGAAACGGCAACCCACTCCAGTATTCTTGCCTGGGAAATCCCATGGACAGAGGATACTGGTGGGCTACAGTCCATGGGGTTGCAAAAGAGTCGGACATGACGGAGTGACTTAGCACGCATGCAGGGTTATTATGGGTGCCATGGTCTCTGCTCCGCACTGCTGCCTCTACTACGAAAATAACATCTCGGGAGCTGGAAGAAGTAGGCTCCACACTCTGCACTTACTGCTTTCCAATCTACTCTTTCCCTTTATGTCTTGTACATCCAGGGGTTTTTGCCTAGAGGGAAGAATTGGTTGAAAATATAACTTAAAACAAGCTGGACTCCAAGCGGGGAGCAGGATTTAAATAGACTGAAACATGACATCTAAAGGGGAGAAAAAGCAGAATGAACACGGGGCTAATCTTGAGGCCAAAGGCAGGTAGTCTGTGTGTTTGTGTGTGTGCACCCATAAATATATGGAGATTTATTTTTGTTGGTTTCTTCTTTGTATCTTCTCTGCACAATTCATTTGGTTGCTTGACGTGGGAATTCTATCCAATCAACAGAGTGTGGAACATGTGACCGATACCACTTAGGTAAAAGTTTAACCTTAAGCATTTGTTAATTTTCAGTGAACCAGCAGGACACATTTTAAATAGGAATAGAAATAGAATAGAAGAAATGACAATGGTCTGCCATTTGTTAAAGGCAGAATCTGATACAGATCAACAAGGGAACTGAGTATGAACACTAAAATGTGTCTACACCAAAAATAATCTAGAAAAAATAAAAAGTTATGTTTTAGAAAAGAATGTTAATTGTGAAATCGTTCCTCTGAATACTATAACTCTTTTTTGAGCCTCAGAAATGTATCCTTCCTCCTTTATTTATTTGGCCACACTCTGCAGTTGAAGTGTGGAGTCCCAATCGCTGGACCGCTAGGGAATTTTCCCTTTTTGTTCATTTTTTTCTTTTTCTTTTTAAGAAAAAATACTATGTGGTTCTTCAATGATCAGCAGTTCAAATTCTCTAGAAACTGAAAAAAAAGTATGTATTTTTTAAAATAGTCAGACAGCACTGCCTAAAAGGAAACACAAGTTTTTAGTGAGATGACACATAACAGTGGTATAATATAAAGGTACAGAATATTACTTATGACTCTTTAATATAACAAAATTCTGTATTAGTTCTCTGAAACTATGATTTAGGAAAAAGATGTGTATATATGTGTGCCCCTTATGCTTTATGTGTGCCTTTAATTATTGGTAACCCATGCTATCCTGACTACTGATTAATTTTGACAAATGTATTGGTTATAATGATAAATTGATGAAGTCTTATGGAATTTCTTTCTCTTGGCTTAAAATAAGTTTGAGTTATATTTTATTGAAATCTAATAACTTTAAAACTGGAATCTGTCTTATGAATTACAACTCAATTCCACATTTTAAAAACTGGCATAGTGAGACGCAAAACAGTTTTAAAATATGCATAAAGATATCATATTAGAAATGAAATGATTAGAAATTGAATCCAAGTCTCTTAATTTGTAGTTCAGTGTAATTTTCACCATGCAACACTTTTCTTCTTAGAAAACTAGGAGGAAAAATTTGAATTTTGTCAATTTCATGGTATACAAATTTGCTTTTATGAAGATTGTTTGAAATAAGCAACAAAACCCAAAATGGAAAGGATAATATACTTTCTTAGCATAGGACTAGAGAGAAGAAAAATCACTTTAGATTTATCACTTTTACTATTATTTACTTTGCTTTTGAAGAATTATTTGTAAAGCAACGGTACAAATGAGATATTGCCTCATTTTCAAATTGGTGATGATAAAAAAAAGAATGATACTATGAGAGTCAGTAAGAATATGGTGAAACAGGCACGATCAGAGGAAACATAAATTGTAAGAAGTTTTTAAAGGGCAATTTGACAATATGTATAAAATGTCTAAAAAGGTATTTGCCTTTGACTTGGCTATTCTACTTGGAGGAAGCTATCTGCAAAGATTTAGTTATCAGGATGTACAGTAACTACAAATTAGAGGATTTTAAATGTTCAGTATCTGGAAAACGATTAAATAAATTATCATGTATAAATTACATGATAAGTTCACATAATAGAGTACCTCACAGCCTTTAACAATAATATTATAAAAGTTGTAAAATGTTTATGATCTTTTATATGAGAAAAGACTATGTTCATTTTGAGCTTATGTTTTTAAAAATACAGAGGACATATGATGAAAGAAAAATAAACTAACTAAACACATAAAAGAACACTCCTCCACAGATAACAAGCTTTGTTTTTTCTTATCTTTAAATACTGTAATACAAGGATATGATACTTGGAGCTAATGCAGTCATCTTTTAACTATAAAGAGAATTACTGTCGAAATTCTGAGAATGGCAGAGCAGAAAGATGGAATGTACTTGACAGAATTCTTGAGCTTCTGAACCAACCTTGAACTCTCTATCTCTGATTTTATTGGTTTGTGGGATAATAAATATTAAAAAGTAACCCACCATAATACTGAATAAAGTCAGTTGACTTAAGGATTACAAATATACTTTTTAAAATATACAGTTAAGATATTGTAAATCCATCTCATGTTATTGTAAAAATGGAACCATGAAAAGAGCTAAATATTTTAATGTCAACCAACAAGATATTTAACATCAATGGAAACTTAAATATGAGATTTCAGAATAATACAATTTTTTAAAGTAGTTTGCATAACATTTCCCTGTAAGACCAAGTTTAGATGCAGTAACCTGAGAATCAACTTACTCTCAGTTTTCTTTGGGTCATGGCTGTTTCTAGGGCTATTTCTCTTAAGGGATCCCTGGTGATGTCAAGCATGGAAGCTTTGATAGTGTCCCCTGGATACAGGCTCAACCGAGACTGTCTAAGGGCCATTCTGGCTTGCAGCTGCATCATTTCTTCTTCTTGCCGTTTTAGCATGATCTCTTGATTAATTAAGTTGCCTTCAAGGGGTGTTTCATATTGTCTGCCATATAGAAAAGAGAAAGTGGATTGAGAAAAAAACATACTAAGTCTAACCAAGAAAAAAAATCATGTAAAGCAAGGTATCAAGAACTTAGATGAATTTTATCTTTTCATTTCAAAAGCACCTTTGCAGTAACACCTCAGTCCTATTTTTAATGTATTAGTATACTGTGGTGTCTCATTTTCAGTGGGTAGACCTATATCCTCTACCTCTTCTCTTAACAGCTCAACGTCTGGAACTGTTCCTGCTGTGGCTATCTAAGATGGGGGCTGTTTTATGCTCATAATCCTGCACCAGTGGGCCTGGATATGAGACAGAGATTTCCTTGGATTTTTATTGCAGCTTCCAGATCATTACTGACTCGTCCCCCAAGAGCCCCCAGCTTCCTTGAATTCAAAGTGTTAGCTGCTCAGTCACATCCGACTCTGACTGTAGCCCACCAGGCTCTTCTGTCCGTGGGATTTTCCAGGCAAGAATACTGGATTGGGCTGCCATTTCCTTCTCCAGTGGATCTTCCCAACCCAGGCATCAAACCCGGGTCTTTTCCCTTTCCTTGAAATATGAGCTTTGAAATCAAACTATTCACTGATCTGCTTTGCTCTAGACTTGTTTCTGTTGGCGAACTCTTCTCTATGCATTACAGATGTAAGTGCCTGACGCAGTGGTCTTCTCTAACACCACTGCGGTCATCATTCATGGTGGTGTTACAGAGACTGGGGAGACTTCCAACACCCTGGCTTCCTCCATCTCAGCCAGAATTCTGCTCCCATGACAAGTCATAATAACTGTGCAGCCTCTAGAATGTCCTATTTCTATCTTCCAAAACCCTCTCCATCTAATCTCCTTATTTTTTTTCTAGCTCACTTCCTCTAATGCTTTTCATCAAACCATTCACTGACTCTATCAGGAATTTTAGTTCACTGACTTGACCACTTCCTCTCTGTTAAAACTTTCACTTTTCAAAATTTTTTACTTCCTATAAATGTGATATATTAATGCTTTAGGCATCTTGACTTAGAGTTTACACTTTTAATTTTATGTTAACTAATGGATTAGTTTATGATCTGAAATTAGACATGTTTATCATCTAGACCACACTGCTTTAACACGTATTGGTATTAAAAGTATTATGGTTCAGGGTACACTACAGTCTTCAGTAATTCATCTGAAAGATGTCATTCCACTTCTGTCATAAAACCAGTTAGTACTGGATAGGCCGAAAAGTCAGAGGTTTTCCATAAGATGTTAAATTTTCTATACCTGTTATACATTAATTCTATTAACCCCCTCTAGCCCTCACATTGCTGAAGTTGTACAGCCCACCATGAAAATAATTTCTTGGCATAGGACCTGAACTCTCATGAAACTGCAGAACCATGCTGACTAATCTCACTGGGTTCTCAGTACTTCATGGTGATTCATTTTCTTAGAGAACTATTTCATATTTTTTTCCTTTTCTTTGTTTATCAAAGTTCTTTCAAAACTTCCTCCCTCATTCTCTCAACAGATGACTTCTCTTCAAATGTTTTTTGGTGAAATAAGAAGAAAACAGGAAACAACTTCCTTATCCTTCTACCACCAGACTTTCCAGATCTATGTTCTGCTCTTTTCTGTTACAATGGATAGATCTCCTGCACACTTACACAAGCCTCAAACCTTTATTGTGCATGGAGTTCCAACCGTCTTCCCTATCCAGAGACTTCGCTCCTGCAGTCACCCTCTCACATGCATCACCCATCTCGTCCACTAGGTTATTCATGTTATACAAACATGCTGTACTATTTTCTACTTAAAACAAAAAAAGTTTCCTTTGGTTCCATATCCCCTTTTAAATTCTATTTCATTTTTATGCTGTCTTTTAGAGTAAGTTTCTTCAAAACTGTCCTTTAAATTTTATCTCCACTTCATCTTCCACTTTCTCTTGGATTCAGATCCATAGTTTGACTCCTTACCAGTTCACCAAAACCAGTCACAGAAAAGATTGCCTTCAGTGTCATCGAAGTCAAAGGATAATTCTTAGTTTGCATGTTACTTGACCTCCAAGCATCATATAACATAGTTATTCAGTCATTAAACATCTGACTTCTGAGGCTTCTGGCTCAGTGGTTAAGAATCCTGCCAATGCAGGAGACATGGGTTCGATTCCTGATGCGGGACGATCTCACATGCTATGGGGAACCTAATATCGTGTGCCACAGCTACTGAGCCCACGAGCCACAACTACTGAAACCCAAGCACCCAGGAGCCTGTGCTAAGCAACAAGAGAAGCCACTGCAGTGAGAAGCCTGTGCACCACAACCAGAGAGTAGCCGCCACCCTTGCCCAACCCGCTGCTGCAACTAGAGAAAAGCCTGCACAGCCACGGACCCAGCACAGCCAAAAATAAATAGTCACTGGCTCCTACTTAGTCTTTTTTTCTGGATCTTCATTTCTAATCTCTTAATGTTGGACTGAGCACCGAAGAATTGATGCTTTCAAATTGCATTGCTGGAGAAGACTCTTGAGAGTTCCTTGGATAGCAAGGAGATCAAACCAGTCAATCCTAAAGGAAGTCAACCCTGAGTATTCATTGGAAGGACTGATGCTGAAGCTGAAGCTCCAAACACTGGCCATCTGATCTGAACAGCTGACTCATTGGAAAAGATCCTGATGCTGGGAAAGACTGAGGGCATGGGGAGAAGGGGGCGACAGAGGATGAGATGGTTGGATGGCATCACTGACTCAATGGACGTGAGTTTGAGCAAACTCCGGGAGATGGTAAAGGACACGGAGGCCTGGTGTGCTGCATTCCATGGGGTCACAAAGAATCAGACACAACTTAGTGACTGAACAACAACAATGTTAGACTACAACAGTGCTCAGACCTCCAGATTTTTCTAGTCTCCATATACAGTTCACACTTACCTGGTCTCATGTAGTCACTGGCCTCAATTAGCTCATATTTTTATAACTCCAGGCTCTCCCTTGGATTGATTCTAGTCACCTGCTTAGGTGAGTGTTCTACCTGGATGTGAACATGAATCTTTAGCCTAAGATGTCTAAAACCAAACTCTTGATACTTGTTCCTTACGTGCAATCTTCTCTCAATCATTCACTGGTTGCTTAGGACACAATCTGAAGTCATTTTGATTCCTTACAAATCCAACATCTGAATGAGCAGTAAATCCTTAAGGGCATAATCTTGAAGAAATCTATTTCCAACTCTTTTCTATCACTAACAGCCTAGTCTGCACTGTATGCATCTCAAATGGAGCACTGTAATCGCCTCCAAACTGGTCTTAACAGATCAGAGTAACCCCATTAAAATGTAAATATGATCATAGCTCTCTATGCTCTCAACCATCCAGTGGATTCCCATTATACTCAAAATAGTTAACCCTAACCCTAACCCTTGGGAGAGGCCTCCTCTGACCAGCCTACCTAAATAAACTAGAACTTGGACATCATACCCTTGTACTCTCTATCTCTTTAGTGTGACTTATTTTTCTTCCAAGTACCATCACATTCTGATGGTGCATTACTTTCTTTTTTTTCAGTGGTTTACTGGATATCATTCAGCCCTATAAAATCTCTGGAGGGAATTTTTTGGTCTTGTTCATAATCTCATTTCTGGTACATAGAAGTATCCACTGCAAGGTAGGTATTCAATAATCACTTATTGAGCCAATGATTGAACATGATTTTATGGCTTACTCTCACTTAATGGGGAGTCAAGGAAAATGATAAAACTTTGAATCCATACATTTTAACCCACACCTTTCATTTTCATTAAATACATTAGCCTTCTTGTTCAAATTCTTTTCTACCAGGGCAACAAACAGGTAACAAAAATGATTGATCATCATTTTGTGTCCCATCACAATATCTGACTGCAACATTTGAGAGGCTAAACAAAAATGAACCAAATATAGACAAAACACATGCAAATAAACAAGAAACTCACAAAACCTAGATGATTTAGGAATGAATAAACAGGTTCTTTCAAGACAAAAAAAGGTTACATCATTAAACAGATAAGCATAGAAGCAGTAGGAATAGCACTACGTAAAACCGTACTTCAAAAGTTGACACACACACAAAAATTTAGAGATGCTTTTCGGAAAATAACTTTGAATGTCTTTTTTTGGTTACTGAAAGACACTTTTGATAGTTCAAAATCCAAAATTACTCAGTCTGCTGGATCTGACTCATAACTTCCTGTTAATCTCCCCCCACCCACTATGATACAAATCAATAGCATTGTGTGGATCTGTTTTTCCATTTCATTCTAGATAAAGGAATGGAAATTTTTATAAAGAAGCATGCAACATATCTAAATACAGAACTATTTATAGATCTCACAAATATGTGACCTAAAGAACAAACAGAACATCCTGATTGTGTACTGGCATGTTAAAGATATTATCAGAAGACTATACACATACAGAAAACTCTGCACTTGAATAAAGAATTTAGACAATACCTCAGTTAATGTGTTTTTCCTTGGACAGGAAGAGATGGGGTAGTCTAAAAGAAGTAGACTTTAGCATCTTACATTAAATGTAACAAATACACAAATCTGGAATCAAGATGGCTGGGAGAAATATCAGCAACCTCAGATATGCAGATGATATCATTCCAATGGCAGAAAGCAAAGAGGAGAGTGAAAAAGTTCACTTAAAATTCAACATTCAAAAACTAAGATCATGACATCCTGTCTCATTACTTCATGGCAAGTAGATAGGGGAAAAGTGGAACAGTGACAGATTTTATTTTCTTGGGCTCCAAAATCACTGTGGATGGTGACTGCAGCCATGAAATTAAAAGACACTTGCTCCTTGGAAGAAAAGCTATGACCAACCTAGACAGAATATTAAAAAGCAGAGACGTCACTTTGCCAACAAAGTCAAAGCTATGGCTTTTCCAGTAGTCATGTGAGAGTTGGATCATAAAGAAGGCTGAGTGCCAAAAAATTGATGCTTTTGAACTGTGGTACTAGAGAGACTCTTGAGAGTCCCTTGGACTTCAAGGAGAGCAATCCATTCAATCCTACAGGAAATCAACCCTGAATATTCACTGGAAGCTGCATGCTCCAATACTCTGGCCACCTGATGTGAAGAGTCAACTCAGTGGAAAAGACCCCGATGCTGAGAAGACTGAGGGCAGGAGGAGAAGGGGGCAACTGAGGATGAGATGGCTGGATGGCATCACCAACTGTATGGACATGAGTTCGAGTGAACTCTGGGAGACAGTGAAGGACAGGGAAGCCTGGTGTGCTGAAGTCCAAGGGGTTGCAAAGAGTTGGACACAAGTTAGTGACTAAACAACAATAACAGTCAACTTCTCCTTGAAAGAAATATTTTTGTTTCACCTATATCTACTGCAGATGCTATGAACATCAACTTGTGTTTTTTACCATCTTAAAGTGTGAAATAAAAGCAGCTTATCACTAAATTATGAATCTGATGAGCTAACACTTTAATGTTATTGTTTCCTAAAAATAAACTGCTGCTGCTAAGTCGCTTCAGTCGTGTCCGACTCTGTGCGACCCCACAGACGGCAGCCCACCAGGCTCCGCTGTCCCTGGGATTCTCCAGGCAAGAACACTGGAGTGGGTTGCCATTTCTTTCTCCAATGCATGAAAGTGAAAAGTCAAAAGTCGTCGCTCAGTCGAGTACGACTCTTTGTGACCCCGTGGACTGCAGCCTACCAGGCTCCTCCATCCATGGGATCTTCCAAGCAAGAGTACTGGAGTGGGTTGCCATTGCCTTCTCCGAAAAAAAAAAAAAAAATCAAAAACTGGAAACAGTCGAAACTAAGATTCTCTTATAATCCCCATGCTTTTGAGTTACCTTATCAAGAAAACTGAAGTAAGTCTCACAAAATGATTTAACTTTGGAGGAATATGTTTTCTAAATAACTAGCAAACTGACTATAAAATCAATCAATTTTAACATATAAATCCAACAATTCTTCCATTGCTCTCTATTCCTTCTTCTGATTAAGCTAAAAAGGCATCATATTAACTATGAGCTTTCTCCAAATTACATATATAGAGAGGAGTGACTTCCTCAATTCAACACAGACCTTAGTGCAATTCAACATTTGCTTCTTATTGCTGGTCATCTCCAAACAGTTTTACTTCTTTAATAAAACTATCTACTATCAAGCATAGATCTATCTTTGTCTCTAACCTCTTTGATAAAAATTACCAAAATAGGGTCATTGCAATTACTATTCCCACAATGGGGTTACAGTAATATACAATGCTATTATATAAAGATTGCATCACTTTAGGCAAATGAATACTGATTAGAACTTTCCTCATAGAAAGTATCATGGACATTTAAAAAAGGAACATGAGAAAAAGATATAAATTTCATAAAAACTGGAATATTACAGAATAATTTTAGTGCAATGTATGCAATTACTTGGAGTGTTAACCCTGATTAAATTGTCTGTTTTAATCACATGGGTAGGGTTACCTCGACTATTAATAGTTTATGGGTATGAAACATTTGCTTGCCAGAATTAATCAGCTAACGGGCAGGTTTTTGTTAATTTCCAAATGATACTTTTGTATATAATGGTACCTAAATCAAATAAACTGAGATATGAAATTTAAAAGTATTACTATAGTTTGGTAGTAAATTCTGAAACAACCTTTGATTCTCTAATATTACATTATGAATTTCAAATTAATGCTTAACTTTAACAACATGCTTCTGTTCTTGTAAGGGACCTGTGCACACATGAAGAAGACACACATTAATATATTCAGTACTGAGTTGACACATTTCACCTCAAACAAATTAAATCAACCCATAGTTATAATACCACCATCCTAACCTAAGCACAAGAATAACTGCCATCTTACAAGTACACTGAGTGTTTCAGTATGAAAATGAACTCTAAACAGTCCAAACTGGGCTTAAAAATAAGTTTAAGTACAAGATAGCTTCTTTTAATCCAGGAAGATGTAGTGAAAACTTAACTTTTTATATAATAGATTTCACATGATAGGTTACTTAGTAGTATCCTACTAATTATTCATTCAACAAATAGTACTGAAAGCCTACTTGTTGAGCCCATGTAACCTTTTGAAAAAAGCATTATTCTTTTAGAAATCAAAGTTTATATTTTCTCATAGATGTTTAATGCTATACCTTCAGAACTTCCTTACTGTTAGTTATTTTATATTCATATTGGCAATTAAAAAAAATCAAGCACAAACTATAAATAATCAGGGCCAATTCTAATTTTAAAAGATTCCAGTAACTCAAACAACTGTAACATCTTTTACATAATTGAATTTGTAAGAACTTTAAAGAGGAGGGAAGAAAAGGAAAATGGAGAAAACAGAGGTAAGAGAATAAAAAAAATACTCCTTGATTCTAATGAAGAAAAAAACCACATGCAACTGGAAATATATTACCATTTTTTCATATTACATACCTTGGTCTCTGTGACTGGCCTTGACTTGGGGTTTCATCTACACCTGGGAGACCACTGTTGGATTCAAATCTCTTTGAAGTTTCACTTTTTCTCACTAATTGTGAATGAAAAGGAACAGCACAAGTCATAAAAATATGAAATAGTCTTATTTAAAACATAAGCACTCAGAAGACACAAAAGATAATTTTCACATATCATATTCATATAATCAAATCAATGATATAATGTCATTAAACTCTTTAGTGGTGGCCATTTTATTTTTGAAAACAATGAATTACGTCCTCTGATATGAAAATGACTACACTGCTATTTGATGAACCTGATATGAAGCTCCTACGGTGGCTTCAGTTACTAAATCACGTCTGACTCTGTGACCCCATGGACTGGAGCCCGCCATGCTCCTCTGTTCAAGGGATTCTCCAGGCAAGAATGCTGGAGTGGGTTGCCATTCCTTCTCCAGGGGATCTTCCTGATCCAGGAATTGAACCCGGGTCTCCTGCACTGCAGGCTGATTCTTTACTGACTGAGCTATGAGGGAAGCACTTAAGTACCTATAACAGTGTTAAAATGAGTAATTGGAAGCTTTTTGTAATTTAAAATTTTTATATTATTCTTTTCACACCTTGTATCTCAACACTACTGAAAGAGAACAAAAATCATAGCTTCTTTTTTAAATGTTTTTTTTAATTGTGGAAAAAGTCACAAATAATATAAAATGTACTATTTTTAACCATATTTAACTGTACAGCTCATTGGCACTAAGGACATTCCCATTGTTTTGCAACACTCACCATCATACATCTCCCAAAATTTTCACCTTCCTAAACCGAAACTCTGTCCCCATCAAGCACTAACTGTCCATTCCCCTCCCCGGCATCTACAAAAGAACTTTCTGACAGTCTTAATTTGACTATTCTAGGTATCTGGTATAAGTGGAATGAACAGCACAATCATGGTTTCTTATGAATGTTTTGCTTGTTCAGATGCTTCTCACCTTGCCTGAAATCCGATTCAGAGGAAATAATAGATGGAGTTTCACTGGACGTACTAAAGAGATCACTGTGGTAAGTTTTGTATCTTTGAACTGGTTCTGAAAGGATTAAAACAAAAACATTAGAAAGCAGTCTCATTAGTTGTTCCACAATCATACAAAGCACTACATTTATTCTTGTGAGACCAGAACATCTATTGCTTTAAATTTACTAATCACTGGACAGTCATTTAAAAATGTGACTACAATTTTGAAGTGGTTTGGCATCCTGGTTAGGGGCCTGGACTCTGAAGCCAGATTGCCTGGGTTTGAATCTCAGGTCTACTACTCACCAAGTGCATGATTTTGGGACGGTATTTAACTTTCCTGTGACTCTTCTTCAATTGAAAAGAGGGTATAAGAGAAATGAGCATTTCCTAAGGTTATTGTAGCATTAACTGAACTCATATGCAAAGCTCTTAGAACACAGCAGATGCTATATAAACATCACTCTCTGTTTCAGGTGCTATGAGGGACAGAAAAATCCAGAGGCATAGCCCCAAGCTCAAATAATTTAAAATGCAGAAGTACAACGCTGCTATATTTAAAATGGATAATTAATAAGACGTACTGTGCAGCACAAAGAACTCTGCTCAATGGTACGTGGTAGCCTGGATGGGAGGAGAGACTGGGGGGAATGGATGCATATAAATGTATGGCTGAGTCCCTTTGCTGTCCACCTGAGACTATCACAACACTGTTAATCACCATTGTTAATTGGCTATACACCAATACAATATAAAGTTTATTTTTAAAAAAATGTAGAAATACAAAATACTCAAGATGGGACATTTAGTCCCACCAGAATGGGATGAGTAAGCACGGGGAGTGGGTGGGGGTCTGTGCAGTGTGTGCTCGGAATGAGGGGGGAGAACTCCACTGAAGTCTGATTTCTACCTTCTCAATGTTTCTGCCTCAGCCCCTCATCTTCACACTTCTATGACCACTACCATAGATGATAACTCTAAGATAAGTCTCATGCCTGGATTGCTTAACTGTTCTAGATTCCCCTTTCTGCAGTCTTGCTTGTCTCATATTATAATGCACATGAGAGAGAGTGAGCTGTCCAGAAACGAAAATCTGAGCACACTGCTGTATTTCTTAAACCTCTTCAAACTAGAGTTTTTAAGATACAGTTTAGTGTCTCCTTAGCACTCACAGCCTTTCGTAAGTTGATCCACGACGACATTTACAGCTATAGCGCTACACGCTGTGAAGATACAGGTTCTGACTTAGAATCAGATGAAAAGCATAGACCTCTCTCCCCCCGCGGCCCTAAAACACACGGGCACACAAACATTGACAGAGAACTTGAAAAACTCAATCCAGGGAGAACCCTTGTTTCAGGGCATCATCACCACCCAGTTCTCCAAATTTTCCACTCTTGCTACTGAATTCACAAATAACCCAAAGCATATAAACTTCGAAATTCCTTCCTCACATACTCTTCCTGCTAGAATGCTGTTTCTCCTCTTATCTTTTGAATACTTTTTCTTTTTCCTTTAAGAGAAGACTGAAAGGAAAAAAACCTTTTCTGTTCACAAAAGCTTTCATGACCACCTGAAGACTGAGTTATACACCATTTCTGATACTTTCATATTGCCTAGGCTTAATAATTGTGACTCTTCACTGCTTTATAGTTCTTTCCCTACCTGCTTGTTTTCCTCGACCTAAATCACAAACTTCGGCAAAAAGCACTGTGTCTGATGCAGAGCAAACACAAAATAAATATTTTCTGTGTGGATATGAATAAATGAATGAACGGAAGAATATAAGTGATACACAAAGGTCGCTGATGATCTTTAAAGAGGACTATTTCCATTGCACAGACAGGCGAGAGGCCAAATCAGGCTGGAAGGCAGGAAATTGAGAAAACGAGTAACACTGTTCTTTCAAGAAGTTCGAAGGTTTGAGAAAGGAAAAAGATTTAAAAAGAAATAAACTAAATGAGACTAAATGAGTTATTAGGGTCTTTTTGGCAGCGAGAAATGTTTGAGAATGTTTTTAAGCAGGGGATAATAAGCCTGTAGGTTGGAGGAGACTGCAAATGACGGTGGGGAATACAGATGGAAAAATGTGAAGGAAAAACAGGAGATGGGAAAAGACCCACCATACATAAGATGGCTAATGTAGGAGGAAGGAAACAAAGAAAAGAGCAAAAAACCAGAGGGACTCCTAAGAAACCTGTATTAGAAACATGCCTTACTCCTGGCAAGGAAAGTAAACCACTTCCCAAGAAGACTGAAGAAATTCTACTATGAAGAATGTGACAAGAGTCAGCAAATACACATGAAAGCTTTTATGTAGCAATGAGAGTTTAGATGAGGCTAGAATGCATGAATTTTACTGAAGCCAATCAGAATGCTTGTGTGGCTTTTTCTCGGCACTAGAGAAAGCAGACCATGGGAAATACCCGAGGAGTGGTGTGGGATGCAAGGTAACAGATGATCAATGTAGGTGAGGGCTTCTTTTTTACTAGAGGGTTGTAAACTTGAGGGCAGGTATTTCACAAAATGAATTATTCCCTTGTGCTAGAAGGTATTTTAAGAGAGCTTATTAAAAAGAAAAAGAGATGAATGAATGAAATAATTAAATGGCACCACAGAAACCAGGCTTGTAGAACCAGGATGGAAATGATGGGCTGGACAAATTGGGAGGTCATGCTGAGGCAAAGGGTAGACGTCATGCCGGGAGGAGTGGGAGGATAAATGGCCATGGATTTGATGGAGAGGATATTGTGTATTGTTCTTACAACAATGTTTACCCAGAGAGGCAGGTATAATATGGGTGACTCCTACTTTGTCCAGCTTTGTATACAGTGAATGTAAGTGTCAAATAAAACTATTAAAAGAGCTTTGGAATTGAAAATACAGATACTGACCAGCACTTAAAAGAATTCCATGCTACCACAGGAAAGTGACATGGTTAAAAAAAAAAAAACAAAAATTCCTCTGGTATAAGATGAACATGATTTGAAAGGATTATAGAAGATGTCAAATAATAGCTTTATTTAATACTACTTAAATTTAATGAACATAGTTAAATGATTATGTAAGAAGAACCTCTATTTTCAAGAAGCACCAAAGAACTTTTTCTTTTGTTGTACAGAACTTCCATGGAAAAGTTTTGAGGGATTTTCCCACGATAACTTGACCAAATGCCAAACCTGGCATTGTAACGTATAGGACAGTAAAACCAACAAGGCCAAAGAGAAGACCCAAATGGATGGAGGCAATATAGTTTTACCTCACAAAGAAAAGTAGAAAGTTACAATAAACCTATTCAATAGACAGAGTAGAGAACCTCAGTCACCTGAATCTATGCTATGCAACAACAATTTCATTAAATGAATTCACTGTTTCATAACTATTTCTGCAAAGTGGCTGTAAGAGAGTAAATTTTAATTTCAATTTCTATTCTTTGGTGGTGCTTTATAATTGTTCTTGCATTATTTCACAGGTCCATATTCCCTGTTTTCAGCTTGCCTATATTTTGTTTCCTTTTCCCTCCTTGTTTCCTTTATTGACAACACTAGCAAACTGTTTTCAACTCTTGGGTTCCTCTGTAAGACAAATTAATGTAACTTTGACAAACCCTCTTGAAAATATAACAGTAAATCATCTTCCCTAGATGAACTGTTGGTCTTTAAACGTTCTCAGTACCACACCTGGGGGAGGGAGGACATTGCCTTACGCTAATTTACCACTTCAGAGTAACTGGGCTCCAGCACTCCAGAAACATGAACTGGAAGACTAGCTTGGCAGGACAACCGAGGGTAGGAAGACCTGTTTTTCCCTCTTCTAAATCAGGAGGGGTGTGATGACGGGAAAGGAAAGAGGCTCAAGAGGGAGGGCATACATATATAATTATGACTAATTTGCATTGTTCTATGGAAGAAATCAACACCACTGTAAAGCAAATTTCCTCCAATTAAAAAAATAAATTACAAAAAAACATTAAACTCAGATTAAAAAACAAAACAAAACAGGACAGGAGTGGTGATCTATGTTAATTAAGTGGTAGGGATCTTTTGTGAGCTTCTTGTATTCTGGAATGTACCTTTAAAAAAAAAACGTTGTTAGCCATGTTCCTTTCATGCAACGGCATGGCAGATCTAACGATATTAAAGTTCCCAGGCAACATTTATTACTCAGTCATGCTTATAAGAAGGCTATAATCAGATTTCAGTCTTCAGTCAAAATTTACTGCTCAGTTGTGCTTATGAGAAAGGTTAGCCTTCCAAGCTTTCCATTTCTGAACAGTAAGTGTAACAGTTTCATAAATTATTAATAAATTACATCTCCTTTACCAAGATCATCTGCGTTGGTGCATATGGAGTGGCATATTTTCCAGATTATCTGGAAAGAAACACTTCTTGGCTTTCCGATGGCCTACACAAAAGGCACCCAGTAGACACTAACTTGGGCTTTCCTGGTGGCTCAGACGGTAAAGACTCTGCCTGCAGTGCGGCAGAGTGTGGCTTCAGTCCCAGGTAGGGAAGATCCTCTGGAGCAGGGAATGTTGCCCACTCCAGTGATCTTGCCTGGAGAATTCCATGGACAGAGGAACCTGGCGGGCTACAGTTGATGGGGTCGCAAAGAGGCGGACACGACTGAGCGACTAATACTAAAAGATACTAACTAGACAGATACAGGTTTTATTCCTCTGATCTAGTCAGCAAAAGAAGGGTAATCTCTAATTTTTCACAAGATCCTAACATTATTAATAACTTCTTTACGGAGGATCCAAACAACACAGATATGTTTTCTGTCTACACTTAGATGTATAATATTAGCAATTAGGTTTGGTCCAGATCCAAGGAATGTGGTATTAGCCAAGTGATTAAGAAAAAAACAAACACAGCTTTTTATTATGAAAACTTAATAGACATGAAAACAAAGAGTATACAGTAAGTCTTCATATGTGCCCATCTCCCAGCATCAACAAAATCTAATAATTGTTATTTCAATTAGAAAGTTTTAGAATTCTTAAAAAAAAAAAAAGAGAGAGATGCTCCTAAGTATTTATAGATCATTACAAAGTTTTCTGAATGCCAAAAT